CGTCTCCTTCTCTCCGTCTCCTTAGGCTCTATCTATCTCGCTCTAGATCTACTATAATTCCAATGTCCCCTCCGTCGGCCTCGCCGCAGCTGAACCTTCATTGGGGCCGATTTCTCGAGCGGATGACCATTGAGTTGCCGAACAGGAAGTCGACCTTCATCCTTAAGGTCTTTTCGACAGTTCTCTCGCCGCCGACCTCGAGGCTTTATACCTTGTCGTGGACCTAGAGGACCTGGGAGACAGTGTAGCCGTCCTGGATCGTGACTTCACTGCGATCCACGAACTCCTCCCGCCGTCGATGGTGCTCTCGACGCACAATAGACGTCTTCAAGGCGTTGAGAGCGACGTGGGTAGGTATCGGCGTGTTGTGGAGGCTCTGTGAAATCTAGACCTTCCACAACTCATTGACGGCACAGGCTTACCCACGTACGGTGCTGTACATGAAGAGGTCAGAGCTCTCCTCTCCTCCGTCTCCGCCGTCACCGTCGCTCCCGCCATCGTTGCCGCCGTCACCCTCCTCCTCTCGTGCCCCTATCCACGCCTTACCTCCCTTCGTCCTCCTCTTCTCCTGCCATTGTGCCTTGTCCTCAGCCCTCCTCTTCGTCTCCACGACGACACGTCGTCCTCGTCGACCCAGTCTCCTGGCAAGTACTTGCCCCCTTCTGGCCAGGCGTACTTTCCGCGCCACACCTAGGCGTTAGGCGTCAGCGAGAGATGCTCGGAGACGGGGTGAGGAGGCAGTCGGTGACTAACGAACCACTTCTTCAGCTTCCCTTCCGTATTATTCGAATCATAGCGATTCTGGGCGTCGTCAACATCGTAGTTTGGGTTGCTGTTGCAACAGTTCTGCGATCACATCCGCTGCCCATCTCATCTGCTGTTCTATCGTACACGCTCGGCTTCAGACATGCTCTCGATGCGGACCATATATGTGCTATTGATCTTATGACACGCTGTCTGGTTGCTTCTGGCTTGGAGCCAGGCGGCAGGCATGTTTTTCAGCTCGAGGCACTTTACAATGGTTATAATCATATGCGCCGTGATTGCAGCAACCGCTAGAGCAACCGCTAGAGCATTGCAAGAAAGGTTTGACGGCTTTAGTCAGGTCGGAGGCATGCGGCGGTCTTGATAACATTGGGCATTGCTAATGCCTTGATTATGGTGAGGCTGACACAGAGACTACGCGTTGTTGTGCTGAGGGAAGAGGTGACAGAGGATAGAATTGAAGGCAATGGTGATAAACAACTTAGGCTTGATGGAGGTGGTATCCCAGGAAGGATTTTCCACAGGGTGTTTAGGCTCATCGATCGACCTTGGAAGGTATATCTTCTAGGAGTTCTCTTTTGTTTAGGTTTCGACATCCAGCTGTTATTTGTTCAAATGCATAATCACGGTATGCTGCGAGGGTGTCCGTTGTTCCTAGAATGAGACCGAAACACAGTAGAGGTAGCCCGTTTCCTGCGTAGTAGTGGGATATCGAATATTGATTCGACAGCTGGGTATGAGGTGGCAACGTAGATGATACCGTTCCAGAAGCCTTGCAGAGGGACGACCAATGCGGACAGGTAGGACAAGGTGAAATTTGGAGCTGAGTTGACGAAGTTATATATTCGGTTTGACGTTGGGGGAATCTATATTGAAGAGAAATTGTCAGCCTCTCAGTTCTATGATATGGTAGATCCAGATAAACAGACGCACCCAAGTAACACATAGTGCAAGAAGAAACAGTATTGAAAATTTGGAATATGTCCAGATAATTCTGTTTGCGTCGAAACTTGCTCTGCGATCCTTAGCAGCTGGGTTCGCTCTACTCTGAGTGTCTCCTAATGGCCGATTGCTAGATGACATGACAGTTTCACTGCCGGTATGGACAGGGTCAGATGGGTATTCGGGCCTGTGGTTTGAAGTCATCTCTAGTCCCGGGTCGCCATGAGGGTTGGAACTGCTTGCGCCATTTTCTACAGCGAGATGACCTTCGTCCGCGATCTCGAGGTCTGTCGCCCTCGGAAAGCCAATTTCGTTCTGAGCCATAGAAGACGATTTAGCAAGGCTCTTCAGCCGTCGTCGGCTGTGGAGGATTTTTCGGCCGGCAAAGATATAAATTGTCGCAGAGAGTACGATCAAGGCCCACGCAGGGGCGAACACCATGGCTATACGTAGGAATCCCCATTCGGTGCGAACCCAGCACCATTGCTAGTTATGAAAGTAAGTAAGGAAAGCAATCAAACAAGCCGGCCATTAGGAGGGCTCACAATCGCTGAACCATAAATCTTTCCTCTGGCCTTGGTCTTAATGAATAAGTACACGAAGGAGGGAATGAAGGGGACTCCATAGGACGCAATACAATACTTCCACTCAAGCTTTCTCAGCTCAGTAACATCGTATTTGCGAAATAGGGTCAGGTAGACATTGAAGGCCATGCAAAAGGCCCAAATCGCATCTGCTAGTATGAACCTAATCCTTTTTAGCAAGAACGCAGACATAAGATATTACCATGAGATGCGCGAACCATTGCAGCAAAAACCCCTGAAACTGGCAAAGTGGGCCATCTACACCATGCGAGACCCCAGTTACTGATATCACAGTTGCCACATTTGCGAAACAATTCCCCCACGAGGCGTAAAAGATGAGTCGGTTAATTGGTTTACGGAAGCGGCGACTCGAGATGAAGGTGATGATGACAAACGATGAGCTCAGCAAGGAGATAATTGAGCAGGTTCGCTCAGTAATTTCAATCGCACGAAGTTGCCGAGCGCTCAGCGACATTTATGAGGCTGGGTTTCATCGCCGATTATCCAGTTTGTTAAACACAGGACAAAATGGCCCTTCAAGATTAATTCTCGAAGATGCAACACGTCATTAGACGGGTCGGGGCGCCACGAAGTGAGTAACCAACCGACGGCGTGCTGCCGCCACGCGAGTCGTGTTCACGTGCCGTCGGATTTAGTGAAGGCTCTCTGTCTATAATCATAATTAAACCACGCTCTATCAATCAAACACCTCATTGCTCCTACCGTTCGAATTCGAAAGGTAGGAGCAAAATTAAATAAAAAAAATTGACAACTGAGAGATTCGAACTCTCGCTCTTTCGAACTAGTAAGTCACATAATGACCTGAAACTAGCGCCTTAACCGCTCGGCCAAGTTGCCTTTTTGATAAAGAATACTATACTCGAGTTGGCTCGTCTGCGGCCCTCTCATTTCATAACCAAACGTGGGTGTCAGATGCTGAACCGAGTGCACGATTTCATATCTCTCACATACATCCCATCTATCCAAACCAGTTTTCTACACTTCCAACCTCTTCCTCTATGGAAAGTAAATAATAATAGCAAAGGCATTCATTCTGCGAATCTGCACACATCCACCGCTAACATGCGCATAATCGTAGAATGCTTTAGGAATTAATAGGTAGTTAGGCCTCATCCGCTTATGCGCATTTTACATATATTAGTGCCAGAAGTGCGCAAATTCGTAAAAATGCTTCAGGTATTAACTTTCACAGAATACCTCCGGTATCACCACTTTCAGCCATATACTTACTGACTATCTACGAGATAGTTAAACATAGCCCAGCAAGGAGGCGTACCCGTCGTCGTCGTTCTTCCTTGCCTTGTTAGAGCGAGGAGCTTAATATAGCACCTCCCCTCCTCCCCCTCCGCTCTTCCCGCCTCCCCTTCCATCCCATCCCAGCCGCCCTTCCGTACGAGTGTAGAATGTAGCCCCCTCATCCCCATACAACCCCAACCCCATCTTTCCACCCAACCCCTAGTCAAGCTACACGACACAAATCCCCGAAGACCACCCGCTCGGATACATTCCACATCCGGTTCCCGTCCCTCTTAGCTTCCCGACGTATCCGGAAATAACAGAATACGTACAATGTCTCAATCTGAAACCATGAAACAGAAACGGTAACGGCTGTGGCAATGCTAGGAGGCGCGGGGAGGGGGAGTTGCGTATGGGGGCCACGCGGCGCCGGGGGGGGGGGGGGGGNNNNATTGAAGGAGGCAAGGGGCGGGAAGGGGGGAGGGGGAGGGGGGGTGTTAGTCTTATTTGTAAGGGTTAGTTTGTTGGTTACAGTATAGCTACTTTTTTGTAATTTGTTTCTGTAGCGGATCGAGTAATCAGGGTCCGAGTAAGTGGTTGGTGGCAAAGGACGAGGCGAGGAGCAAGATGCGTGGAGCAAGCAAGCTGCTCGCAATCAAAGGATAGGGGGAGGGAGTAATTCGTGAACTTTCTGATCATTTCTTTAATTCTTCCTTCCTTCTTCTTCCGTCTAAAGCAACCCCCAAAGCCGTAGCAAAAACCAAATACAGCCCATAAACCCAATCTCCATGCATGCAGCCCATCATCAAATCCCACATCCCACCCATCCATCCATCTATCCCACCTATAATACACCCCCAACCAACCCCAGCGCCAACAAATGCATAACCCCCCCTTTCCCCTTTCCCCTGTAAAACAAAAACAAAAACTGTAAAAGTACACCTCTCACAAACGTCCACCTCTCCCGGGACTACCCCCTTCAGTTCCGTACTCCCCGCCGTAGCTAGAGCCATCGCTCTCATCCCTAGCAGCGTTGCTCGCGCCAGCGCCGTTGGAGGTAGCGCCGCCGGAGCCGTTGGCGGTGGCTGCTGTTTCGGCGCGGGCGTTGCTGATCATGCTTGGTAGCTGGCGGCGGCGGGCGTTGATGAACCAGTTTGAGATTTGGTCTAAAAAAAGCGGTGGAGGTTAGCTTAGTTCTCACAAGTGCCGCGTAATTGGTAGTAGTTCCCGAAGACCCCCAACCAACAACACGTAAGGGGAGAAGAAGAAAAAAGACTCACTCATCTGCAACCCCGTCCGCACCATCAAATCCTGCTTCTCATCCTCGGTCGGATACGGATGATGTAAATGCCCCACAAACCAAGCCCTCAACTTATCCGTCGTCTCCTTCGGCAGATTCCCCCTCCTCTTCCTCCCCCCACCGCCACTCTTCCCATCTCCCATTCCCTCCCCTCCATACCCCGTCTCCGCAACATAGTTCTGCGGCGGATACCCATTCCCATTGACACTAACCCCGAACTCCCTCCCGCGCTTCCCCGCACCACCACCGCCGTCGTAAACCGCGTACTGCGACGGCGGAGGGTAGGGTTGGGCGTCATACCGATCCCGGCTGTATGCTTGCGGCGCGTAGTCGGCGCGAGGATCAAATAGTCTCGGTGCGGCAGGCTCGGGGTATCCGCGGCCGGGATAGGGCATCTGGTCCGCAGCACTTGCAAAAACGGTCATAGGCGGCGGACCCGGCGGACCCCCCGGTGCACCCGTCATCGTACTCCTCGGGGACGTGCGATACGGAGTCTGCATCCCACTGCTCCCTCCCCCACTGCTCCCCCCGCGCTCTGGCTCCGGAGTGAGGAGGCGGCGTTTTTGTGCATAGGGACTCGAGGGGCGGGCGTCGACGGGGACGGGAGCGGGAGCGAGGTCGATTTCGGGGACTGCTTGGCGGATGGGGGGGAGTTCGATGTTTTGCAGCTGTGAGCGTGGGCGGGTGGGGAGGGAGGAGAGGGCCGCGGCGAGGTGGGCGGGGGTGGGTGAGGGGGCGTGCATGGTTATTGTTGTGGCCATGGGGGTGGTTTGTGTTCTGTGGTGCGTGCTGGGGGTGGTGGTGGTGGGTGGACGGGTGGCGGGTGCGGCGTGGTGGTTCGTGGTGAGGGCGTGGGATGTGATTGTGAGGTTGGTGAAAGGTGAAGGTCTGGGGATGTGGTGTTAGTTGGTGTTGTTGTGTTTAAGTTATTATGTTGGGTGAGGGAGGACGGCAGGGGAGGTTTCGTCCCAGGGCTGCCAAGGGAAATGTGACGAAGCGGTGGGCTCTTGGCGGACGTGGTCTAGAATAGAGCACTGCAGAGGGGCGAGACTGTGGACGGACATACCAACTATAAATATCTCCTAAACGTGTAAGGTCGGAGACGGCAGTTTGTTTCGTCGGTATAGAAAACGGTCAAGGGCGAATATGTTCGTTCGGTTCGAAAGGTATTTGGGTTGGATATGCTGGATGCTGGATATGCGGCGGAAAGGCCGGATATTGAGGGCAAGAAGTGGAAGTTTTGGTATGAAGAGAAGTAGACGATATATCGAACAGTGCTTGCGTGCTTTCAGTAAAGAAGTGCAGGAACAATGTAGGTATGTCGAATGGTAGAAGAGGAAGTAGGTCAAGAGAGAACAACGAGATGCAGGCAAGAGCAGAAAGTCAAGATGTCAATCAGTCGGGTAGTAGATATCAGAGAGAGAGAGATAGAGAGGGAGGAGGGAGGCGAGATGAGAGAGACAAGAGAGGCAAAGTAGTAGAGTAGTAGTAGAGTAGTAGTAGAGTAAGTGGAGTAGTGGAGAAGGTAGTAGTTTAAGGTCAAGTCAGTTTAGCAAAGGGAGGGCGGAACCAAGACAAGGACTACGAGACGGGCATGGCACTTCATGCAACGCAACCCACCACATTGAGAAGAAGGGCGAAGGGCGGAAGGGCGACTAAGCCATTATTTCGTACATTACAGTTAAGAGTGACTATAGTACTATAGTACTCGTACCGAAGTACATGAATGACGCCTCGACGGGGCCTTCAACGGGGGCTCGCGAGTCAATGACCCTTACTAAGAACAGAGGGGACTAGTAGGGTATATAGTAGGGTATGTAGGGTAGTAGAGGCAGAGTAGTAATAGAGTAAAGTAAGTAGATTTACAGTAGTAGTAGATTACAGTCGTGTGGAGTAGTAGTGTAGTAGTCTTAGTCTCCCTATTCCCCTGCCCTGCCCTTTTCGTTAGAGTGTTAGAGTAGAGTGTTAGAGTGACTATGGGCTATTCTTACCACTATATCCCTACTAAACCTAACCGTCCGTAACAAGTTTGTGGTGTGTGTGTGTGTGGTGACTATGTTCTATAGTGTGTGTACCCCAGGGTGTGTTCTAGCGGCGTGTCGAAAAAAGAAGGTTCAGCTACGTACCCACGCACGCACGCCGCCAGATGGCTTGGCAGGAAGGTTTTTCTCTCCGAGCCGGCGAACCCGGGTTCTTGGGGTGTAATGGTACATTGCATATTTAGGGAAGGAAGGAAAGGGAAGAGTAGAGTAGAGTAAGGATAGAGGAATAGGGTAGTAGGGTAATAGGGTAGTACAGTAACGGTAATAATGTAGGAGTACAAATTTAACAGTTTTTTGCAGGTTAAGAGTGGGTGAGTTGAGTGGTGGTTGATGGTTGGAGAGTGGAGAGTGGAGAGTGGAGAGTGGACAGGCAAGTTGGGTGAGGAAGTGGGTGAGATGTGTGATGGATGATGGATGATGGGTGGATTAGTGGTGGATGAGTAATGCCAGGCTGACAAGTGGAGGTACCAGTACCAAGAGGGTACCGACAGCAGATGGTGGATTATGGAAATAGTGCAAAGTGGATAAAGTGGCACAGTACCAGTCAGTCATCCAGCGTCAGCAGTCAGACGCAGAAGTTGGGAGGTGGCAGTTGAATTGTGGATCCAGAAAGCCATTTCTTAGGGCAAAGGGGAGAACACCGAGGGCAAGGAAAGGGCGCATCATCGATGGACCAAGGGCGCACTTTGTGTGCGGGTGCTGGTATCCCCTAAGTCCCTCAAGTATCCCAGTACTCCCGTCTAAGACACGCGCTAATCGCCCTATCTCGGCGGCGGCGGAAAGCAGCTCAAGGGAGGGAGCAGAAAGGTACCGGTACGCTCGGTGCTAGTGGACCCTCGCGGTGATGGGCGAAGTTACTTATTTGCTAGCGTGCTGGGGGTACTTTGGTTAGTTTGAGTAGATGGAGAGAGGATGGGAGAGGAGCAGATGAGGTGAGGAGATGAAGCAGAGATGAGATGAGTAAACCGGATAGCCCGGATTTTAGTAGGCAGTGCAGGTGCGTTTGTATGGGCGGAGAGGATTTTGTGCTAGATGTGCGTGCGTGTGAATGGATGTTGTGTGTGTGATGTGCTTCATTATACGCTCTGCACCTGCTTTATACTGTGCAATTCCCGTCTTCCACCCTCACCTCCCACCCTCAACACACCTCCTTCCCCATCCATCCCCCATCCCTCCGATTACGGACAACATCTCGATCATCCACGCACATCATCTACGCACATCAAACACTCTCATTATCTACTATACTGCTACTGCTCTTGTATCGAGTATTCTTAGCCGTCCCTCACATCTCTCCCTCTCCCTTCCCCAAACCCCCGGGCCGCGACAGACAAGACAAGACAAAAGGTCTCACTAACCCCATCCAGCCCGCCGCGCTGTTTCTGTCTCAGATACTCATCACCCGCCCTCCCTCTCCCGCCCCATAAGTACCTACCTACCTACCTCCTCCACCTACACTACACTACACACCAGCAACGGAGATGACATGCTCCACGACGATGACGACCATATCCAGGCGCAGTTACTCGTGCGGAGATGAACGATGGGGATGGACTAGATTAGATGATGGCAGATTTCGATGTACGAGCGAGCGGGCGGGCTGGCTGGCATGCGCATATCTTGGCCTCGTATGTGCGGACGGACGGGGGGGGGGGGTTGGCTATTTTAACTTGACACGCTGACACCTCCCTGGTCGGTCGTCTATCGTGCTTCGGCAAGCATCATCAGCGTGCAGGAGGTAAGTGCATCCCCCCATCCCGCAATCTGATTGTGCGCCGTGGCGTACGTACTACTGCTGGCACTACTAACACTACTGGCACTACTGATTGATTGATGGGCGCTACTGGTCTTTTATTGATGTGGAAGACTGACTTGCTTGTGCTTTGAGTACTGGTCTTTTATTGAAGTCAGTCTGATGAGCAGTGGCCTACTTGCTACTCTACTATCTTCTCCTCTCCTGCACGTCTAGATTACAAAGTAAGCATAAGCAGACTAACCCCCCATCCAGCACACCCCTCCGATGCCAATCCCAGCTGCCAATGTTGATGTGAAGGCTGTGATGTGCGTCTAATGCAGAAAACAGAAAAACGATGCCCATTATTGCTCCATACATACATACAGGACTTACTTACTGTCTGTCTACGGCATCATCCCACCTTTCAACCTCCACTTCCCAACCGCCCATCATCCCTCTTGGCTGCACAATGACAACAAGTACAGCTACAACCAGTACATCCAGTACATGGCAACCTCCGCCATCCCCTGCACCCTTCCCACCCTCGTCAACCCCCCTCGCCTCCCAAACCCCCCCGGTCGATCCCCGATCCGCCGCCTGTCAACATCGTGCAGCCCGTGCATCCGTGCGTCGTGTCGTCCGTCCCTCCCTCACACCAAAACCATACGCGCGTCCCGTCCCAGCGCACGAATTATTATTCCCGAACATTCCCCTTCGAGCCGGTGTCGCCCCTCTTCTTCTCCACTTACTGTACTAACTAATCCACTTACCACCACTTCAACTGACATACCCCTGTCCTGTCCATACCCATCAATCCATGTCCTTTTGCCCTACCAAGCAACAGATATATACTGTGTGCGGAGTACTGTACAATAATACCAGAATTTACGAGTGCGGGACAGACAACCTCGTACGGGTGGAACCTCGTACAAAAAGTACGTATCTTCTCAATCTGAAGGGACCCACCCATCTCATCTCCACACCTTCGCGCGGAACATTCCTCATGACTCCCCCCCTCACCACTCCCCACCGCCACCCATCCACATGCACCTTCACCACTACAGAACCACCAACCACCCACCCCGTCCCCCCCGCCCAGCCCAGCCAAGCCTTCACGTCAGCGTCACGACAGGGCCCCGCGGTCTAGCCTCACCACGCCTGCGCAGGGCCCTAGCAAGCCCAGCCCTGACTGACGGACGCCACTGACCGGCATAAAAAACCGTTAATGCATGCATCCGGACGACTTGTGCAGTTGTGCAGGCATCTGGTGAAAATCCTCGGCTTGTTCGGCGAATTCACACGTTTGGTGGCGGGGCCAGTCAGCAAGGTGATGTGTGTGTGTACCTGGCTGGTGGCTTTCCGTTGCTGAGCTGGAAGTATGTACGTCTCCTCCCTTCCTCCACTTCACCCTACTACTGCGAGATCGTGGAAAGAGTGGGAAGAGGGTGAGCAAGTTTCCCCTCCAAGGGAAGGGATGCGACTCGTCGAGCCCGGAAAGTCAAGGCAAACTAAACGCAAGCCGCTCGCTCGCTGCGGATGTGCGGTGGGCGACAGATGGACAGTCAGCCAGCCAGGACAAACAAGAAAAAAAAAGGCCCGCGAGCACTGCCAGGGCATGGCATGGCATGGCACACGACGCACGTCGCTACGATGGGGTAATTGCTCCGGGCTCACGTCCATCTTTCACAGCCAGCCCAGCAAGCCCAGCCAGGCGGAGCTGTCAGTCGCTGTCAGATCATGCAGTCGAGCAAGCAGGCTGGCTGACACAGGGAGGAGATGGACCTAAATATATCCCCATCCGCATCTTTCCCCTCCCCCTTTCTCGGACAGCTTCCGTGCCAAGCTTCACTCCTGACCGTGCTCACCTCACCTGAACGTCACCTGAACTGGAACTGGAACAGAAGCAAACTCAAAACATGATCTCGAACTGGATCGGCGAACACACACACACTCTGTCCTCTTCACACCTCGTCCATCCATCCCTCATCCCTGCCCACTCAACTTTTTTGCAAGTCATGTACATTACAGTACGTACCCTCCCCCCCTCCCCCCCCCCGGTCCCCACCCACATGCACACCAGATCCATCCCCTCCAGCACAGCCGCACGCCAGATCGCCGTCCCACCCGCCGCCAGAAGCTTGCGTAACACGCGCTATCCCCCTCTTGCGTCCGCGAGCCGTTGCCTGTCACATCCATCCCCTTCCACACACACATCTGCACGGTACCGGCACTCGGCACCGCCAAGGGATTTTGGCACCAGTCCGGTATTTTTTCGCGTCCGTCCGCCCCGCTCCCCTCCTCACATTATTGAAATTCCTTTCTGTTTTGGCGCTCCCTGTGCCGCGAATCCAGAACTGGTCTTGTTCTGGTTCCAGAAGTCAGGTAAGGCCGCCCCATCCAACCCGCTATGAAAAAACGTGGCCAGATTGCCCCGTCCCATACCAAGCCCAGCTACGTACTGTAGCCCAGCTAGCTTCTTTCCTCCCTCTCCCTCACCACGAACTTCACCAGGAACAGGACAAACCCGACCCAACTGCCAATACCGCCAAGTCCTGCCACGGATATTAGCTTAACGCCGCCCCCCCGCCGATCGGGCGGTGCAGCCGATCCTCTTCTGGTTCCTGTCGCTCCCCTTCCGCATCTGGTCGTTGGGGCGGACACGAAGGGAGCTGGGTGCTGGGTGAGCAGAATAGACAAGAGACAAGAGTGGAGGTAGGGTACATCAATCACACACCTACCCACCCATCTGCAAACTCCGCCACCCCATCCAACGTCACCCCGCCGATCCCGTCTCGTTTCACCTGCAATCTGCAACCCCCTGTCCGCACACCCCTTGTTCGTTTCGAAACACTGTGGGAAGGGGAAGGAAAAGTTAGTTTTTTTGTGCTTGTGTATACGTACATAACTTGCTCACGCACACGCATTATTTTTTGTTGCTGATGCACTACTACTGTACTGTATATGCGTATGCTTCGTTTCACCGCTCTCGAAACGGGGCGAGGGGGGTTACGAACGAGACGTACAAGTATGTGGCTGCAACGCCGCTGATCCCGCTATCCACACCTCGAGACAACCTCGGCTCGCTCACCCCCCTCGACGATCGACGCCAATATGGGACTCGTACTGTGCAGCAGGCGGACGGGCTGTAGCCGTGCGTGCAGGCGGTAAGTTACAGGATATGACCAGGGCAGGATATGACCAGGGCAAGCAGCAGCGGCAGCGGATAGGCGGGGGGGCCAAAGCAAACAAGATTGAGAGATAGCTCAGATCTGTCGTTCGTGTCAGGTGTACTGTACTGCTGTCTGTAGGCGATGTGGATTTTTTGTGGCGTAAATCAGAAAAACTTGGCATGCATGTATGTATGCATGTTTGTATGTCTGCGTGTCACAAATCTCAATCGAAAATTCGAGATTCGAAAAGGGCTGAGAAAGAGAGGAGAGAGGAGGGGGAATCGAATCCCCTGACCTCCCTGACCTCCCCGAACGCCCCTTCCCCTCCAATCCTCTCTAGAGGTTTATCTGCACTCTACGATACTCTATTCTCCATTCTTCTCCCATTCTTCTCCCACCCCATCCCACCGCTCCATCACCGTCACCTACTCCTCCTCCCTCCCTCCCCCAAGATCCGCGCTCGCCTACACACTCTGTAACGCGCATGCAACACCCACCTACCGCTCTCTCGCTCCCCTACACAACGAGCTGCCAGATCAGAGAAAGCAAGCACACGTAGCACCGCATAACATGAGGTGCATAAAGTCTCGTCTCGTCCCCCGCCCCGAACCCACCCCGCGGCGTCCGCGGTGCCGTGGTGAGAGCGAGATGCACGCACGCACGCACGCACGCACGGCATCGATGTATGTGGTGTCACAGCGCCAGATCAGTCGGTCCTACCATCTATCTATCTATATAGCAACGCGTCTTCTACTGGGGAGGGTGCACCATCTACTGGTTCTTGTGGCACCTACCTACCTGTCTACCAACATGCCTTCTCTACCTGCCATATACAGTTCCCTTCCCGCTCAAAAACCTCTCTTCCTGTGAAAGACAAGAGAAGCTATGACGTAAATCACGTGTCCACACCTTCTCCCTTCCAACTCCACTTCCTTCTCCCGTACCCACCCCACAGCATAAGAAGGAAGTCTCGGAAAGGGTGTGTGTGTTCTACAAGTGGAGCTGGGCAACAATGCGCGAAACCCTCTCCACTGCTAGATATCCACCTGCCTGTCTGATCTTGTCACCTTCATTCTGTCTCGGCAGCCGACCCCGCCGGGCGGAGATTTGGGTCTTGGTTCTGGGAGTGAGTGATAGTTTCTCACCACTACCTTTCTCGGCGCTCGGCGGAGGAGGCGGCCCCCACTCCCAGCGCCGAGCAGAGGGAGAGTGGGAAAGACAGGAGAGGGGAGTGGGGGCGCAAAAATACTGAGAGAGAGGGAGGGAGAGAGGAAAGAGAGGGAGTTGAAAATCTCTGTGACGTTCGCAGTGGGGCGTGCCTTGTTGACACGGTGGGGTCTTGGGCATGGATGGGTGGTTTGTCGGGTCTGTCAGTTCTGTTACTTGCCGTGATTTTTTGCCACCCGCTAGTGTTATCCATTATTGCCTCTCTCTGCCAAAGAAAAGTAAGTATCTCTGTTCTGTGCTGGTTGGTGAGGACCCATCGGTCGGTCGGTCGAAGGTGATGGGTACGGATCCGCACCACGGAGACCCGGCTGGAGGGGGGGGAGTGAGCTGATGGGGATCTACGGGAGGGATGACCGGTATACCCAACCAACCATGCTTTTGATATGACATTACTATTCCAACCGACCTGTCCTGTCCTGTCATCAAATATCGATATGCCGAGGACCCGGCAGTTGAGAGAGCGTGGCGATATCCCCACTGCGCCGTGGTTGAGCATTCTTACAGTAGCCCCCGCCGTGGCCTGGTTGGCAGAGTGGGTGGCTATACGGCGCTGTGTCAGGTTTGGGTGAGTGAACTGTGGATGATGGTCGTGGAACCGGGAAGTGAGGTACGTTGGATGGCAGATCCGAGGGGCCGTCAGAAAGGTGGTGTTTGGGAAAAAGTGGCGACGACGCGCAAGTCAGACTTCGGTTGAGATGTGTTTCGTGTCTCCTCCCACCTTCACCTCCCTCCTACACTCCGGTTCTGACTGCCGCTATCCTTCACATGAAGGTTTGCTCGGGTCGCCATCTGAAACGGTGGGCGGAGGGAATATTGGGAAAAAGCTTGATTGTGGCGATCGCAGGTTACGGGTATCAAATCAGAGGGAATCAAAATCTCACTTGTCAGCCCGAAAGAGTAAGGAAGTGAACGTTAGGTCCCTCTACTCCGTAGTTTAGTCGTAAAGGAGTTAGTTAGAAAAACTCCAGTCCGCCGGCCGGGCGGCAGGAGCGACATGGAAACGGGCTGTGAGTGTACCAGTACTTACGACGTCATCACATTCCCCGCTATCCCGCACAAAAAATGTTTCTCAAAAAAATAGTTTCCCAACGACACTATTTGAAATGATCAACGATGAGATGGAGAACTGATTGGTGGAGAAGACAGAGGGTTTCATATACCCAACTAATCGCGATCCCCTTACTTCAACCCGCTGTGTTGCCAGAGTGGTTAATGGGTAAGACTTGAATTTCTATAATTTGGTTATCTTATGGTTTCGGCCTCGTAGGTTCAAATCCTGCACACAGCGCATAACTTTTTTTTTGGCGCCCTCAGAGTTGGAGAGGGGAGGAGGGCTCGCTTAGGGTGTAAGCGATCGTACTTTTTTATAGTTACTGAGTTGTTGCCTGTGATAGGAGGGTTTGGTTTTTATATTTTGAATTACTTTAGAGGCTGTGCGAGTCTCTGCTCTCGAGGGCTTTTGAGGGAGAGCTCGCTTGTCGGGGCGACTGTAACTGATAGGTTTACAGAGAGTTACTCATAGGGCATTTAGCTAGCATAATTACTATAAACGCTGCTATTGTCTATAGTCACTTACAAGGCATTTCGGTAGCATGGTTACTATAAACGCTGCTATTATATATAGTTACTCACAGGGCATTTAGCTAGAATAATCACTATAAACCTAGCTATGGTTTACAGTCACTCACGAGGCATTTAGGTAGCACAGTAACTGTGCTTCACGAGTGACCCTAAACGCAAAATCCCCTTAAAAACAGTGAATAAACGAATGCAAGAGCGATAATAACTATTACAATCACCATGCGCTCATATGCGATGCACAGCGTCTGTGTTTTCCTACCCCTATCACAGTGTTTGTTAAGGGGGCGGAAGCGATTGTGATATTAGGGGGGTGAGTTAAAGGAGGGGGCACAAGAGTGGACGGGGGAATCGTGAAATAGGAGGGAACTTGCTGAGATAATTGTAGAAGCTATATACCAAAACGATAATATACAAACTTATTTGATTTCATCATTAAGCCTATATAAAAAGTGAGAAGCAACTGACACCCCGGCCGTCAGAATCCTCAAAAGCCATTATATCCCTCATACTCCGTCCACCTTACATAAACTTCCCCTAAGGATTTAAGATAGAAAGAAGGGGGGCTCACAAATTATAGGGGGCTATGGACTCCAATTATCAACGCAGCCGAGCACTGAAGTTTGACAAGTGGGACAAGGATCATCCTTCCCATTTCTTTACATTTAGAGATGAGGGTTCAATCGTGGTTCAGTTAGAGATGTGGTGGAACCACTCAACGGAACTTTAAGCCGTTGGCCGGTGCCATCGCCAGTTACAGATGGAGGCAGTAGCGTTGGTGGCTGCTCTTGCTGTCGGTTGCTCTCTTGCTACCGGCTGCTCTCTTGCTGTCGGTTGCTTTCTTACTGTCAGTTGCCTTCTTGCTCTATCAATAATAAGGATAATACCTTCATGATAGTCTTATCCTAGTTTCGGGATCCTTCATCAATTGCTTCCTGAAATAGGATAGTAATCAATCTCCGGACCAAGACAGTCCCAGCCCATTGTACCATTCTTGACGGCTCCTTTGTGATTCGTCCGTCATTTAGGAGCTGCTGAAACTGCCGACTGAGATTCTATAGTAGTCTATAGCTTCAACCTATAAGCTAGAGACAAGCATAGTCATATTTGGTATTTAGGGACAGCGCTGTCGATTACAACAGACTTGCTGGCCTTCCGTTCTCTCACCCCTCAGTTGCGCCTCACGGGTATCTTACTGCCCAGTAGTCCTGCCTCTGTTCCTCGGTTCTCCCCCACTAAAAAAAACACTCGACTTCTTTTTACCCCGCCAAAAACAAAAAAAAATATGAGGTCCACAATGGAGAGAGTTCATCTCTCCGAAGAGTTTAAGTCCCTTCGCCCGGAATCGAACCGGGGGCCCCCGGATGAGGTGTGTGTTTTTGCAATTACAGTCCGATGCTCTAATCCAACTGAGCTACAAAGGGTAGTGAGTTATCCAGCGGTCGGGCGTGGGGAATTATATTACAGATGGGGTGCGGGCGTTAGGGTTTATGGTACAGGGGTGTGGGGAAAGGATCAAATGTGGGCACACACGGCCGACAAGGGTGTCATGGGAAGCGATTTCCAAGAGGAAAAATAACGGAGTTGGAGGTATGTAAGGCAGACGTCGGTGTTTTTTTCATTTGCTCTATTTCATTATGGGCAGTTGCAACTGTATGGTGGGAAAGAGTTGCGGTTTTCGCAGAACTCCACGTATGCAACTCTCCCGGCGCCCTCTTTTTCCCCGTTCTAGAAGAGCCTCGTCCCTCATATACGCGTGCTCTCTTTGATTTCGTGTCCAGTATCTACCCCCGTCGTACCCGCCCATCCCGCCTTCCAAGATGACCCTCCTTCTCAACTACCCAACATAGATGAGGGTCTCTCGGGATGTCGTAAACGAATGTCGACGACATGCCGACGCGGCGGGTACCTCTCAAGCTCACTCCTTGCAAACCTATACATGCTCAATTGACGCCCTCCCCCTCGTGAACGTGTATCTCCGCCGCCTCGCCCTCACTCCCCGGCACCTCAGGCACAACCTCCTCATACCTCCTCCTCGCCTGCATATCTCCAAGCTCCCCATGTAAACTGAGCAGATCGACCTGGTCCTCATCGAGATCCGGCACAGGGTCCTGGTCAACATAATCCTCATCGACGTCCGCCGCATCAAAGTCCGCTAGGCGGCCCGCCATCGACCCCTCCGACGCAGAGCTATCATGCTGCACATCGTCGCTACGAGCTCCCACTGACCCAAGCTCGACGGATGTCGCGCTCGCGGGGTAATTGTTGTGCGAGTAGGGCTGGGCGAGGGCGGAGAAGTTCCAGTTCGGCTCCATACCGCCTACGCGCGCGCCAGGGAAGTCCCCATCGTATGCTGATCCAAGGTCGATAGCCTCGTCGCCCGACGCATCGCGCATCTCGATGCCGTCGTTCATGATAGCGTCTCTCTCAAGGAGCGGCGCGCCGTCATCCTCGAGCGCGTCCTTATAATCAGGAGGGCTATCAATAGCTGACGGCGGGACGATGCTAGTATTAGTCACGCTTCTCGTCGCTACTGTTGTGCCCGCTGTGGTTCCAGTGACCGAACCATGCCCTGCCTGGCGAGTTGCTTCTACTCCGGTCAAAGCGCTCGGCGACCCACGAAGGGAGGAGTCCGCGCCGAGACGCTGGCCTTCCCCCGAGCCGCTGGACTCATCTTCGGAGGTGGCAGGGGGGTTGTCGAAGCGCGCGAGGATCTCTTCGAAGCGCGGGCCGCCGAGGGGCCGGTCTGAGCGACGGCGGTAGAAAAGGAGGTATGCTGCGCTTGAAATCACGTGCGAAGGGTCTTTCAGCTTGCTGACGGCGGAGTCTGGTATGTATGTTAGCAGGAGCAGGAGTTAGTTAGCTGGGATTCCTACCATTATAATCATACCACGCGCCGTCGACGAAAGACTTGGCATACGCGGTGTAATGTCCACCACCAAGACTACCGTAATGGTTGTCAACAGCAAATAGATCATAAATATCTTTCTTGCCATCTTCGCTCTCAAGAACTCTTGTGCTCATATCCAGGCCATCAATGGGGAAAGTGACTTGGATATCCAGCTTGTCTCGGCGCATAGCAGTGGAGCTGAAACGCTTCAGGTGGAATACCATGATATCCGGCGTCCTCCACAACTCGAGTTTCTTGCTGGCTCGCCTATGCTCCTTACACCTCGGACAGTACCATGTGTCCATCTCGGACAAGATCTCCTCTTTTCCAAACTCATCCAGGCACTCATCAAGGGACAACCCCTTTGAGCGGCGGCGTAGGCGAGACTTGCGCTTGGCCTCAAGGACTGGGTCTTCCAGCAGACCGACACTGGACCAGCACTCCCGGCCACGCATCGTATCTTCTTGGTCACCTTCAAATAATGTTGCGAAAGGGTCTTGATACCAGTCGACAACGATGCCTTCCCCAAGTCGAACGAGAGGTCCCGGATTGGCGTCTTCCTCGACTTCCTCGCTGGACATGCGTGCCCTCTGCGGTGTACGCTTGTTACCCTTTCTTGAGTAAGTCCTGATGCCACGTCTGAAGGCTTTCATTTGACCTACTTTATACACGGCGTGTTGGGCGATTGGGCGAACAGGCAAAACCTAGATTCATTAGCCTCTCTCCATTGGTCAAAGAATTGGGTGCACTGGTTATAGGAGTCGAGGAAGGCAGTCTCCAAGTTAAGTGTCAAAAACATACCCTTGTATTCGGCGCCAAATCATCATCGTCACTTGATTCCTCGTTCATTCGTGTCGGTGCCAATTGTGGGATGTCGCCAATATCGTCTTCACTACTTTCGCCATCAGATCGTTGGGGGTTATTGGAAGCAAACCCGTCAGATGCCTCATCATCGACTTCAACAGCGTCCTGGACAACAGGAATCCGACTGGAGAGCCGTGGATATAACTTCTCCTCGTCCACCACACCCCATCCCGTGGGAACAACTTCTTTTTTGCTCGAGAAATAGCTTAACTCGAAAAGATTGTTGTATTCGGAAGGGAGGAACTGCTCGGGATCAATCCACTTTGGCCGCCTTGATTGGAATTTTCGCTTTCTTGGATTGGAATCTTTCTGACCATCTACTTCTGCCGGTCTATTGTTTTGCTCTGTTACAGTGACGTCGACTACATCATCCTCGCCATCGATCGAAGTAGCCACAACTTTACCGTCTCCAGATGACGTATCCGAGGCAGTAGTTATAACGATGTCTTGTTCTGCGCTTTGGTCGTCATCAGTTTCATAACCGCTCATGTTATAAGTGGTAAGATTGGCAACTCGTTCAAGAATCTTCCGTTGAATGATGTCCTCACTGCGAGCCTAAAGACTGTTAGATGATTTCAAATGATGAAGTGAACTACGAACCTCTTCTGGAGTCAACGTTATAAAAAACGGCGCATAGGCATGCATAAGCGGTTTGCCAAATCGGGTTGGGTTGGGATTTTGTCGCCGCGAAATAACCGGCACGATCATTCGTTCTGCTCTAGGCGAATCCCAGCTCGGAATATCTCCCTCGTCATCGTCTTGATACGAGTAGCTTACGTTAAGCATTGACCTAGTCTTTTGTTTGGGCTTTCGCACAGGCGGCCAATTTGTTGGTACTGCCTCAAGCTCGAAAACCATGATGCGGTCGTTGGCTTGGATGTCCTCCGATACTGACTTTGTGTCCTCAAGAATCCTGTATATTTGATTGTTGAATTCCTCTGCGATGAAAAGCCGTTCGACGGGAACATCAACTCTGCTGCTGACGAACGTCTTCAGCCCTTTTATGCTGCCCTGTTTGTCCATGTCCACTGCAACCCTGACTGGCTTATCGTTCAAAGGGAAAAAGAACACCTCATGGCCCCAAGTACTCTCAATGGGCAACTGCATAGTAACAGTGCTGAACGGGTCAAACGTTATGCTTACTTTGGCGCAGTCTGGACAAACGAGTGTGGATTTGTACATCCCCGTGAAAAGGTCTCCAATAACAGAGTCGTCGCGCCTCTTCGTGATATCCCAAACTTCTTTAGCCATTTTCTTCAGCGCAGCTGGATTGTCGACCATTTCATCTGTTGAATCTGGCTTCTCTATGTACGGCTTCTTCTTGACACGGTTCAAGTCTTCCTGCAAAGCATCCAGAAGAATGCCCAGAAACTCCTGTGAATCCTGCTGGCCATATCCAGAGAACGAGCCAAAGTACCTCCCGAACGTGTTTTTGAATTGCCGGGGAGTAATTGACGAAGGTGGGGGCTCTTTGTAGAGCTCTCTTAAAAGTGCGTTGTATACAAGAGCCACATTGCCGCCTTTGCCAAGCGGGTTTTCAGTATTGAGCTCCTTTTCGGCTTCATCTGCCAAAAAGTATTTGGTCAATTCCTCGACACTACGGATGCACTGGAGGGCGGAGTTCATGTAGCAGGTGTTCCCGAGGTTGGCCAGCCCAACTGTGCCCACTGTCTTGCCAGAAGATTTCTGCACGCGCCCACGCGTCATTGGCACCGAGGGAGCGGGGCTGCTTCGTCCACTGTCAGGTCTTGATACTGCTGTAGCCCGATTCGTATTTGCTGAACCGGTGGCAATGCCTTTAGTTCCCTGCTTGGCAACCTTTTGGGCATAAGTGGCTAAGTACGTATTACCCTCGATAAGCTCATCTAGAACAAGGGCTTGGTCCTTGCCCAACCCAGTCATGGCAATCGTCGAACGGCCATTATATTTCGGGTCGTTTGTGTAGTCTTTGGTGTCCACTATCTCTCGCTGTGCACCTCGTGTCAGGCCATTAAATGTCGCGGCCTCCACAAGTAGTTTTGTCCAATCTTCTGCAGACTTGGCGTCTGGAGCCGGTGTGCCGGCTCTTGATAGAGGGGGTGATGCACCGCCGGCAGGTGCAGCCGCCGCTGTCTTTTCGTCAGAGAAGATGGGTACGGTCCAAACTCGCACCGTCTGCTGGGTTTCGATGTTGGCGGATTTCTTAATGCTCTTAAGAAAGTCCTGGAATCTGTCGTTGCGGCTCATAATGAAAATGGGCGCGGGTGGATTCTTCGCCTTCAAAATCTGTGAAATAGGCAACGGGCTGCTAACTGCCCAAAGCCTATGGATCTTGAACACGACAGGATGAAGTTCAAATTGCACGTTCGGCACTTCAGGATCCATGCTAGTATCCACGGCTTGCCTTATGATAGGCACCTGGCCAGCCTTCAGGCCATGCCACTGTACCACCAAATTCCATGCCGCTTCGGGGAAGTAGGCGACCGAGCCGCCTACAACTTCGTGCTTTAACCTGGCAAATGGCTGCTGATTCTGATCCGTTAGAATCTCGTAGACAATATCTGCGTTGTCGACAGGGCCGACTGGCTCCGCATTTGACAGTTTAGCGCCGGATGCGTGAGCTTGGACGTTGTCCAACCAAGTGTTTGATATAATATAAGTTTTTGTGCCGGGGGTGAGAGGTTGGCTTTCAAAAGCCTCGTGTAATTCTTTGACCCGTCTTATCTGCTCATCGATGGGAGGAACATCTATGATGTAGTTAGTAATTGTGTTATTCGAACCGGGTGCGTCACAAGCCCACCTTCCGACATCTCACCATCAGCCTCGGGCAGACATGTATCTGTATCTTGGCTTGCAGGCTCTTGAAGTTGTGATATTTGAGTTTCTCCGTTTCCATTCGCGTCGGGGCCTTGATTCGAGCTATCTGGGACCTCTTTCGAGATTTCTATACCCTCCATATCGACATCCTCCTTATCTTTCGCGGGGTTCTCTTGCTCCAGCTCTGAAGCCGGTCGCTTGAGCGGCGACGACGACCGGAGTGGAATATCTGCAGCGCCTCCCATCATAGCCCTTTGTATAAACGACTTATTCGGCGACTGGCTTCGATTTCCTTGACTTCCAGAGTTTTGGGGTCCACCTCCAACTCCGGTTTCCCCGCCTCGTTCACCCTCGATTGACAACCCAGAGTACGCAGCGCTCGGGGAGCTTGCTGCGGAAGGGATATTATCCTGAGCTGAGAACGAGGCTTCGTTATGAATGTGCGGTGGTATGTGGCGAGGGAGGCCCCGTTGGCTGTCGCTCTGGTTGGATAGGTCGGATCGTGGTGGGGTTTGTGAGCGCCGAGAAATTTCCTGGTCCTCGATCGATGCAAAAGGAATCTCCGATGTGTGATTAGAATGCACGAGCTCGTCCTTATCGATCTTTCGTTTCTTTGTGGAAGACGTTTTGAAGGTGAGCTGCGTTGGCAGCTCTTCGTTTGTAGTGGGTGCAAAGTGGCGGTTTTAACGAGAATCCGTCCTTTCAGAGGATAAGAAAGTGAGGTTTAAGCTTGTTGCAAGACATTCGGGTGAGTGTGCTGTTTGTTAGATCCGACAGTGTGCATTTCCATAAGAATTATCGAATTTGTCGTCGTCTTGCGTTAATTCAGTGCCTGTCTTTGTGGTGGCGGGAGTTGCCGCTTACGATTTAGTAAATGTAGGGCGTCACCAAGAGTGATTTATCATGAAGTAAGAGGGCGAATGCCTTGAGCTAAAACCGAACCCCAACACCAAATCCATTTCAACATAATGAGCAACAAATGCTTTCAACACAACCAATAATTGATTCATTTTATTGTGGTTGGTATGAGTAACTCATAATCCTAATATTGATTCATAAAGACGCAAGCTGATCAGGAATTCTTATTCCTCGGAGACACTCGCCCTCAAGGCTTCTCTCTCATGGCTGAGAACTCTGAAAGGGTCTTATGGCTCTGTTGACAAAACGTGGAGGAAGTCTAAAGCTCTGCCACGGTCAAAGACCACAACATCCCCAGACTGGTCTATAAGCAGGTCATCACTTTCCCCTTCGTCCCATTCTCTGTGGGTTTTGTCCTGTTCCTCCTGGTATCGAGCAACCATGTCAACTTCAACTTTCTAGGCGCTGTTTAGTAATGACCCTTGTCGTTCGTCACCATTGTGAAGACTTACATGCATCAGAACCAGGTCTCCTTCTCCTTTTCTTAGGCTTTGTAAAACCGTCTGGTACTCGACCTCATCGCTCAAACTGAGCCATTCCCCCAGAGCCTCTGATGGCCGGACCAGCCTGTACATCCAGGGCCCACCATCAAGAGCGCGGCTAAGGACTTCGTCACTTGTAGGAGTCGGCTTTTGTGGAATCATGGTCTCTTCTCTGAGCGTGGCAAGTAGATTGTAGAACGGCACATCGTAGGGCAGGAACAGATCCGTCGTCAGAATGTTATCACAGTTCGCTCCAGAAATTCTTTGAAGAGCAAGATGGAATTCTTCGCCTTCTATTCTTGGCTTTTGCTTGAGCTGTGAAAGGAGCATATATTTTGCAACAACACATGCCTGTATTTCAGTCAATGGGGCATCGTTGGATAGCGCAAGCCTTACCTTAATTGCAAGGGACTTCGGATTCCATTTTTCAGGGACTTTAACCCTCAGTTCGCGAATCTGATTGTCAAGGAGAGCTTCGGCTTTTTCTAAAACAAAGTTTGACACTCCGTGTCGTTGTTCGAGCATGTCTTTAATAACACGTCTTATCATCGAACGCTGCCTTACGCCTTCCTCCACTGCTGTGTCGACTGCCTCCAGTAGACTTTTGCTGTCAAAGTCAACTGGGGTTTGTTCTTCCAAATCAATGATGAATGTGTTAGTGCCAAGAACAGCTTCATAGTCGATGTTGTCAGTAGGGGCCGATCTTAGCATATAAAGCTCTGAATCGATGAGGCACCGAACGAGAGTTTCGGGTGACAGGGTGAACCATTCTAGACCGTGTGAGGTTTGGAATCCAAGCTTCTGGTACTCTCCCTTCGCGTTTTGCCTCTGTGTGGCACCCCCCTCAGCCTCCTCATGATGGGGCGTCGGTCGAAGGTGGAGCGGAAGGCTTTGCATCGCGTTAGAGTGTGAAATAGGTGCTTCATATCTTTGATTCTTCATGTTCAGTTAGCAGCAGATCTTAAATATGCGACGGATATCAAGATGTCGTTACCTCCCAAACCGTGACCTGTTCCTTTCCTGATGAAGTTTCATGCATGGTGGCAAACCTTAAATTCAGTGAGTAGGAAGAGGAAGTGGGATCAGAAGATTCTAGGAAGTAGAGGTTCTGAAACTGCAGATAACAACCATTATTGGGAAGCGCGGTTTGAATATTATTTAATTTTGCCAATCGTACAATTCAGGTGACGCTGCACCACCCACCCCATAGCGCCAACAATTTCTATATTTACATCCGTCTTCTGCCGGTAGAGCGGTGATCATCCAACATTCATACATCCCCGCCCATTTATGAGTAATCTAAAGTGTTCAAACAAGTGAGAAACAGCGCCGTGCTGGTACAAGTAGTGGCATCTCTTTGAGAGAGCGGATAGGTGAGTGAGTGTTCGTTTGCGGGGATATGTTGCGATGATTGCAAAAAGATCCATTGTTCAGTCGTATTAAAAAAGCGCCTTTCGTGCGACCTGTGCGATTCGATGTTAGTAGCGCTCAACAATCAGTGGAGGTATACACTTACAGCCCATCCGCCCGCCACAGAAGCAACAACACCCCCAGAAATCATCATCGGCCTCAGCCCCCTAGTCGACTTGAAGATCATACCACTCAATGCGCCCGCAGCAATACTGTTGGCCGCATCGTGCTTCCCCCTTTGGTGGCCAATGAAGGAGTTGATTCCGTTATATACCAGCGCGATCACACCAGCGGAGTTTCCCAAGAACGGGCCTCTCCTTGTAACGGCGTTCAACACCGAGTTGAGTCTGAGTTTTGGTGGCTGGCCAGATGACCTTCGTAGGCCTTCTTGCATACCCCATGCACCACCAAGCGTTAATGCCGAAAGATATGTGACTCCTGTCCCGTAGCAGAGATCGTCGGACCAGCCTCGGGAAGGCAAGGCTGACTGTGAGCCAGGGAGGTCGGAGAGTTGAGAGTCCTCAAGAGATATGTAATCTAGCGTTTGCTGGTTCAATCCAGCGAGAGGATGAAGTTGAGATGGATCTGGGAAGGCGGCTCCGCCGAGGAAAGAACTGACATCCGCCCCTTCGGATGGGTTGAAAGGAGCCGGCTGGAAAGAGGTCGAGGGCTCGGGAGTGCTGGTCGTAGTTTCACCCGAAGACGACTTCGACGAGGACTTGCGCCCGGTCAGCGAATCCCAGATCGACATTGCGGAGGTGATGAAGGGGTGATGTGAGGATGAATATGGCCGGTTAAAATTTTTGGATTCGATGAAGGTTAACGGAGAAATCTGGGTACCCGACGTCGACAACATGGTGGTCCGTGCATAAGTCTTGGCATGATTTTCTCTTAGCACGACAACCCCGGACACCAGCACAAGTTGGTATAATATTATACTTCGTTCAATTTATTAAATTCCTCTGAACGGGCTTTTGCATTAGAGCTGTGAAGTCAGATACTCAACGGCTGCTGCTCTTTCGTATGCTAAAAAGGAGCTGAAGCATAAATGGATATTTAATTTTCCAACGAGCAATATAAAACCACATGAAAATCCCACAAAGGACTGAAAAAAGCACCAAAGTCTTCTGAAATGGGCTCAGACAAGGCGGTTGACACCCGCTCTATACAAGAACTGTTGCAGAATCTTGCAGGCCAGGAAGACAGGTAATTTCCCCGTCATTTTATGCATACCCCTTACTAACCCGTGACCAGTGTTGCAAGAGATCATCTCAATGTACTGATCCAAGATGCCTCTCAGCCACGGCATATGTCCGGGAACTCTTGTACGAGACTATGCTATTTTCTAGAACAATGCAGGAAGTCAGAGTCGCCAAAACTTCGAGATCTTGCATACTCACATGAGACGTGCCGGCAGTTGTTTGACTTCTACGTTGAGTGGAATGAGAAGAACCAGCACAGATCCATGAGACAAGTTCTAGAGCTTTTAAGTTCTTTGATATCTCTCAATCCCAACAAGGAAGTTTCTAATGGCTTCAAAAAGGAGTCGTTGGAGCGCCTTTTGTCTATCATTTCCCACGAATCTGCTCAGCCTCTTGTCAAGCCAGCTTTCAAAGTGTTGGAATGCTTTGTGATCAAAGGCACGTACAACAGCTCTGATTTATTCGAAGCCTATGGCCACATTTCTGGTGACATAGAGCCTACCCGAGAATCGCAATGGGACAAATTAGTTTCTGAAGTCTTTGAGTGGATGTCCGCGCCTGAAACCTGTTCTGCGGCAGCCAAATTCCTCGTGAGTCTCTTTGGGGAACTGAAAACATCGCCTATCGAAGGTTCTGAGGCCGCAGAAAATTATTCGATATACTGGCAGAGATGGATACAGCAAGGTCTCAGTAAGCATCCAGAATCTCTTGAAAATGTGAAGAACTATCTGTTCCCACCTCTGTTCAAATTGGACAAACCGGGATCGTTGCAATTTCTCAGAAACATATCTGCAAACAATGCTATTGATACAGTTGGAAATCGTGAGGTAGATAGTGGAGCAACTCTTTTCTTGTCTGCATTAGAGGTTGGAAAAAAGTACGGCCTTGTGGATGATCCAGGTATGTCAATCTCTGGGTATCACTTTCTTGTTATAATTTCTCACTCTCCAAAGACCTCATACCACCGCAGAAAGCATCGGCAAAGAAGCGAGATTTTGTGGAACTTCCTATCCAAGCCATCGGAGGTCTCTTGATACATACAGATACTACAGTCAGATCTTTAGCTTTTTCTGTACTTGTGTCGTCGCTTTCATCGACGAGACCGTTTCCAAAAGAAAGTCTTGATATCATTCGTCAGTATTTGTATGTTCTCCATGCAGATACTGACGCCAAGTTTCGCAACGATCTGTTTGCCAGTACTAAGCATATGCTTGAGCGCCTAAGAGGGGCTTTGGCTTTGTTGACCCGCGAGGCTAGCCTGAGTGTGACACGGAAACAGGTTGCGACAGATCCAAATTCACCTAAAGAGTTGCAGACTGTTCACAGCATAGAACAAATCGACAAAGAAGGAAGCGATATACAAACTCACATCCAAGAACACGAAAACTTCCTATCCTGGTACTTAAGCTTCCTCGCACAAGAGTTAGTACCAACAGCATCTTACCCAAGACACATCACCTCTTTAAAATCCCTCGAGATTCTGTTGAAAACAGGAGTGCAGCTTTCTCCAGGTATACCGACAATCAACACTTCGCGTGGCTCAGATACATTTTGGCCAAAACAAGTCAACGTTTTCTCTCCCAGCGTCTGTCGATTGTTGTTAGATCTGGTGGTAGACCCCTTTGAAGAAGTCCGAAATTGCTCAGTTAGTGTGCTAAACTCTGCACCAAGAGACTGCTTTGGCCCTCTCTCTGACACCCCATACGGTCCTGTCCCCCAGCTTCTGCAAGACCTTCTTTCGGAGGCCAAGATGGCTTCATCTCAAACTGGCCGTGCAGATGCAGCTGATGGACTTGCACATATGAACGTCCTCCATTTCAAAATCCTCGAACACGATCAGCACCGATTGAACTTCTTCCATACGCTACTAAGTTTACTTGAAGATGATATCGAAATTGCCAGATCCGATTTGAAGTTGGCAGTAGATCGGGTTCCACTCCATGGCCAATTGACAACTTTAGCGTATGTTGACTCATATCCTTTGTATGCTTTCGAGTGTCCTCTCGCGATGCGCTGAAGCAAAACCCTCTTTTAGGATCTTGATATACTGATATTCAATAGTCAATTGTGGGATTTGATGAAAGTCTCACCTTATGAGGGCCTTGTGGCAGTTGAATCTAATGCCTTTAAAGTAGGAACAATTACGGCATTCCAGGATAGGTTGGCCACATTTTGCCTTGACATTTGGGATATTGTGAGGATTACTTTGTGCCACGACTCGCCGGAAGGCCATGACCCAAGTGGGCCCATTGGATCCGAAGAAGCTGATGTAAAAGGCATATTGAGCTACAGCTTCCGTGCGTGCCACGAATCAAGGTAAGTTAGAGAGGCGATGCTTATGCGCCGTTAAATATCTAATTCGGATCTTCTAGTGAACTTATTCAGGCCATTCTGCGCAAGGCCAACATCATCAAATCATCCGATAAGAAGCCGTTTCTCACCTCCCAGGTGCTGCAAAACCTTGGAAATTTGACCTTCGTACAGTTGGCCAGCCTAAGACACAGGGGTGCATTTTCGACTGTGACTACAACCTTTTCATTATGCTGCAAAGTTACTCAGAGCAAATTATTTGCTGAGAATGGAGGCCCAGACCTCCTCCGCCTTTGGCGCGATGTAAGTTTGCAACATACTATGTAACATCACATACTAATCCATTATAGCGAGCATTCCAGTGCATCAATGAACAGCATTCGACAACAAGGCGCTCGGCCGGTCTTCCAGGGCTCATCACTGGAATATTGTCTGCTGGTTCTTCTGAAGTTACCCTTGATTCTGTGATGGTAAGGCTCCAAGAAATAGCCCGGACACCTGTCATTATCAGTGGGAAGGATGAGGAGCAGCTGCCCCAGGTCCATGCCATGAATTCCATCAAGGACGTCTTCAAGAGTGCAACCTTGGGTAAACAGGCCGATATGTACGTCACGGACTGTTTTATCATTGCCACAGACAGCCTGAAGTCGGACATGTAAGTCCCCCATGCCTATATCAACTTGTAATACACTAATAAACTTCATAGCTGGGCTATTTCAAACTGTGGTCTCATTCTCGTAAAAGCTCTACTGGATTGCATGCTCGGTACAAGCGATAACAAAGCTGCAACTGAGGCCGGATGGGATGGTCGATCCATCAGGATCTCCTACGACCGATACAAGGGTTTACCAGAGGTTCTCTTGCGTCTCTTGAAAATAGACTCTAGCATCCCAGCCCAGACAAACCTCGTTTTCCCGGCGCTTGAGTTTGCAAGGCGCGTGGGACCCCCGGAAAAAAATAGGGCTCAATTCAGAGAGGACTTTTACAACAGCGTCATCAAGCACCTCAATTGTCCCATATGGATCTTTCGAGATCTTGCAGCAAGAACGGCCAGTACGTTCTTGTTGGAAGACAACTGGAAGGCTCCCATAATTGAACTTCTGGAGTCGAAGTCATTTTCAACGAATGGGCTTCATGGTATCTTCTTGCTCATTAGATACTTGATTGAGAAGCGATTGGATTTGGATAAGCCACTGACCAAAGGTATGATAATATCCAGCCACATAAAGCATAGTTCATACTAACGTTGCCAAAGATGATTTAATCGACCTGTTGAAAGCGATGAGCATAAGAATCCTACCATATGGCGCCAATCCTACTGACAAATTCCTCATCGCTGCGTACGAGGAAGCCATGTTCCCGATATACCAGAGGATATTCAAAGATATGCCAGGGAGCGAGCACCCCGCCTTCCCGTTCTCTAGCATGGAGTGGTTCGATCAAGGCCAAGCTATATTGGACGAGATGGGGATGGCTGTAGTGAAGGAGCTTAACGACCGCCCAGCGGACGAGCGTAATAGTCTCGCAAACAACACCCAAATCGTTCACTTGCTTTACATAATAAGGATGGAGAAGTCTCTATGTCGCATAACCGATGGGAGTATTTCTTGGGACAATGTCACTGACGATGCTGCGGCTGAGTTGCTGCAGAGGGCCCCCAAAATATTTACCTTTTCCAGCTTAACTCTGGATGAAATCGTCGCCATGGTCCGCTTCTTCCAACCCTTCGTATTATCTGTCAAACGCTCAGAGAAAGTGAAGAGGCTTGCCCAAACCAACATTGCAGCTCTACTCGGGCAGCACGATTTCTTCTTCTTCTCGGATGAGCAAATCAACGAGCTTGCAGGTCTCCTCATCAACGACAGTTTCCTCTCTGATGACTACATGCACCTTGCCATCAGAAATGGTGTCGAAATTCCGATATTCATGGGACCCGGGCTGAGAAACGCGCGACTCATAACAAAAGGTCACGTCCTCCGCTTCCGCGTTCATGCATTTGAACGGCTGGGCGTCCATGAATCATTTCCACCTTCTGAACTTGAGCTACGTATAGGGGCTGGGCTCCTGGCTTTCGGCGTAGAAGTCCTCAGCTTCATCCACAGCGGCCACGTACGCTCTCCTCTTCTCCCGCTCCTTTTTTATCCTCCGCTAACTCTGTCTAGGACTACGATATCCGCATGGCTGGGGCTACGGCGTTTTACAACTTTTACGACACCCACGCCGATACTCTATTCATGGCGGCCACAAAGGGAAAGCACCTCACGCCCCTCCTAGCCCTCAACGTCGCCATCCTAGACTCCCTCATCGACGACGACCCCGACGTCCGCGAACTCGGCGCTGCCACCTTCAGCTCCCTAACCCTCAGCCCCGCCGTCGTCCCCGAAGCCTCCGCACAGTCCTTCTCCCACTGGCTCTACGATAACTACTCCGACTCCGAGCCGTTCATCGCTGAAACCCTCCGCCGCATCACAAGCGGCAACGAACTCGGTACCTTCGATGGCCTAGAACCCGCCACGCTATCCGACACGGCCCTTGCGCTCGCGAAGGCCATGGTCCCCGACAACGCGCTCTTCGCCGAGGAGGAGCAGAACCTGTATATAGACGAGCTGCGCGAGGCGCGGCTGTGGTGCGAGGTGTTTGCTCGCGCTGAGGGCAGCCAGTGGGACCGCGTGACGGCCAAGCTGTTGATGTGGGCTGTGAAGTCTATGCTCGCTATAATTGCGATTGAGGACCGCGATGGGCCGCTTGGGTGGATGAGCAAGCCGAAGGTGTTTGCAATCTGTGGGCGCGTTGTAGTGGCATCCAGGATGCTGGCGGAGCGCTTCGGGAGTATGGAGGGTGTCAAGGGGAAGCCGCTGCTGGAGCCGATGGTGGCTGGGCTAATGGCGGCGGGGAGGGACCTACTAGAGAGGGGACGTACTAAGTCATTCCACCCGCTGTTGATGGGGGAATTGACTGTGATGGCTATGGCGAAGGGCCCATCGGGGGAGAAGAAGTGATGGGATGGGTACAAGTGCTGTACAAGCGCCTGCCCGGATAGACCGGTCTATGTCCGTAACGAAAATAAAAGTACTGTAGATGGGTCCGTTTAGATAGATATTTACGCCTATTACAAAAATAACATGCTGAATAGTAATCGTAAACTCCGCCGAGTTGCTCCGTGGCTATCTTTGTGGTTGGAAATGTACTCAATGGCGTGCTGATAGCGCAGGATGGTGATAACCAACCCTGGGCCGTCTTGCCTTCTGACTGTCAGATATAAGAGCGCCGCCGCACCTCCCCCTCCATCCTTCCCCTCCTTCGCTCTCCCACACATCCCAAAAGAAACCTTATTTTCACGTCACGGCTACTATTCCCATATAATATAACGTACGGATCTCAATCCCTCCGCATCTCCATCTCAACGTTGACCAAGGCACCGACTGACACCTCTCCAGCATGCACGTCCACCAGGCACCACGATGGCACACGTACCCAAGATTACTAAACACACCGACAACGCCTGACTAAATCCTTACGCAACCCCTCCACGCACCTCTTCTGCCTTCTACCCCTTTGGAACTCGGACGCTATCCCCCCTCTCAACAGCCGATCCGCTCTTCCTAGCGACACAAAGCGCGCCAGCTCCGCGTTTTGGGCGCTGGACCCAGGGCTAGTCGGAGCCATGGTTGCGCCGAGGGACCGATGTGGACAGCGATGTGGGGTGCACGAATGAAGGGGAGGACAGTTTCACAAACGGCCGTTGGTTGCTTATAAACGCTTTGCGACTGCCGCTGGTTCTTTTTTTGTTACGGAGAAAGTAAACAAGTCGAATAATCATCAATCAACCTCTCTCCATTACCATACAATCAGATATCGCAGATATGTCGACTGTCAGCTTCACCCTCTCGCAGGATTACGGGTATGTTGTGCAACCCCAATTCCCAATTCCGCTCCCAATTGCCCAATCCCGGTCTCCGTTCCCTGCGACCCCGGATTCCACGATGTGGCGCGCGACAACCACATGGCGCAGCGATTGGAACGCGCCACAACTTGGATGGGCAGGAGAACACAGAACGAGATAAAAATAAGGGGCGGCAGAAAAGCCGAGCAGAGCAGAAGGGACAGGAGAATGGCAGCGCAGAGAACACCAGCTAACGCGCGTAATCCAGATACGTAATTCTCGCCGCAACATCCACCTTCATCCTTAACACCATCCACGGCTTCAACACTGGCAAATTCCGCAAGGCGGCCGCCATCGCCTACCCTGCCCCCTACGCCACCAACGAGGTGGCCAAGGACAACGATGATGGTATGCGCTTCCCCTCCCTTCCTCCATCCTCCAGCCCAGAATCCCCAGGACAGCAGAACTAGAAGCTAACCCTCCTCCTAGCATACCGCTTTAACTGCGCCCAACGCGCGCACGCCAACTACACCGAGAACCACACCTCCGTCCTGGCCACACTCCTGATTGCTGGTGTTCAGTTCCCCCGCGTCGCAGCTGGACTCGGCGCTACCTGGGTTGTGGGGAGGTACCTTTACATGGCGGGGTACTCGAACTTGGCGTATGGACGTGGAGGAAAGGGACGTTATCGCGGGATGATTGCGTACATTGGCCAGCTTGGGCTTTTGGGGTTGACGATTTACAGTGGGCTGGGTATGATTTTGGGGTGGTAGATGTAGATACCAGAGTGGGAAGTAGTGTAGGTTAGTGGGAATAAAAGTTGTATTACTCTAGTGGTTTTGGGCTTGATTTGGGGGGTAATGATTATGTGACACTGTGAATGCATTGGAGAACGTGGATGATGTATGGACATGTCGACATTTCAATTCGTAAAGCTAGTAATACAGCACCAGCAGAAGCTCAATATATACACCACACCCGCTTTTCCTTTCCACATTAATTCATCCCTCATCCCTCATACCACAATAACACCCTAACAGGTTTCCACCGCCCCCCTTCCCTTCCACCCCCCAACCACAAACCCCCACTCCCCCCTCGTCACGGGCGTAATATCCCCCCAACCCCCCGGCGTAACAGGCCCCCTACAATACGGGCCCCTAAAACTCTTCACCGTCGTACTACTCTCCCTCTCCCTCCTCTCCTTCGGCGTCGGCGGCGCCGCCAGTCTGATCGCCTCTTCTGGCACCCCCGAGATAGGGGGGTGGGACCCCTTATACAGCGCCGCGAACGCGGCATTCACGAGACGCAGCGCAAACGGCGAGACGCGCAGGTGGTCGTATGCGCGCTGGAGATATGTGTTTGCGACTGGCCGCCCGGACTGTGCGAAGATGAGAGCGCGGAGTTCGCTCAGGGCGCGAGCGAGCGCGAGGGCGATGGCGGGGGCGGAGGCGCCGGTGGAGAGGAGGCGGGAGTAGGTTGCTAGAGCGTGCTTGAGGGTGTAGATGCGGTCGAGGGAGACGATGGTGAGGCCTTCGGAGGAGAAGAGGATGGTGTTTTGGTGGAGGGAGCGGTGGGTGAGGGTTGGTTGGGCGGCGGGGACGGCGAAGCGGAAGGGGAAGCGGAGGGAGGCTTTGTGGAGGATTTTGGTGAGGGTTGTGGCGGCTTTGGGGGTGGGGGGGATGGCGTGGAGGAGGGTGATGACGGGGTGGGGGGTGCTGGGGATGGTGAGGGGTGTGAGGGAGCTGGTGGATGTCCCGGTTGAGTTTGAGTGCATGGAGTGTGTTGGGGAGCGTGGTGAGGAGGGTAGCGTGAAGATGCGGGGAGAGAAGAGGGAGCGCGGTGAGCGTGGTGAGCGAGGGGAGACAGGCGAGGATGGTGATGGCAGAGGCCATGATGGTGTGTCAGAGGAGGTAGAAGAGGCAGAAGATGCCGACGAGAACGATGAGGCAGATTGAGTCGGTGAGAGACGACTGAAGAATGACGAGGTCGGTGAAGAAGGAGACTCCGGCTCGAGAGGCGGGCTGGGAGAGGCGGGTAGTGGGGTGTCTTCTCTAACGAGGACTAGGGAGAGGTTGATGTTTTTGCGGATCAAGCGTGAGGAGATGTATTCGAATGCCTCGATGTGTTGTGAAGGGAGTGCATTTGCCTTGACCTTCGGCGTAGGAGCGACTCCAATGGGGCCAGAGATGCGGGACTTTTGGATAGCCATAGTGACTGTGTGGGTATTTCCTTGTGGTGGTGGTTCTTTAAGAGCAGGTGTGAAGGAGATAGTAAAAGCTCCGTGGGTGACTTGAGATACAATCCAAACCAAATACCCAAAATGAAGGAAAGTAATGAAGCCGCAGACCTAGTGAAAAGTTACGGATGGAGTTCGAAACCAGGAGGCAGGAAGGCGGGATATCTATAAGAACTCGCAAGGCACACTGGCATGGCGCAGATCATGAAACGAATTCCCCAAGAACCAGGAACAGGGCGATCAAAACAACGACAGAGGTGATCGAAAATAAACAATTAAGCACCGCTGAAACAGGCCGCCACTTGTGGATGTGAAGAGCAGGCCCAGTAAACATGCAGGTTCTCCACTTCCAACAGGCCGGGGATGCAACTTCACCAACATATCCTCTCTAGTTCGGTATGCACAGTACGCCTTCTTTGGACAACCCCGAGACAGACACAGACAGGCACAGTGTGTGTGTGTACTGCACTATGATGAAGGCACCGTATCGTACATCACAGTACCACGGGTATGCCTGTCATATCTGCCCAGCGCTCTTAAAATGGAAATCACTCACCTCCAGCGACCATAATAGAACAGCACAGTGCTGTAGGAGGGGCCATAGCAGCGCTTAATTCCCCATATTGCAGCTATTTTAACATCATTATCCCCCCCCGTGATGTTACACTGAGCTTGACCGTTCCTTCCCCGTCTTCTCCGCCCCCAAGCCCATCACAACATCAAAAATAGAGCGGCCGGCGTCCGTGCACCTCCACAGTCACACGTCCAATCCCAGCGGTCCCAGCTATCCCCCCGCCGGTCCCAGCCAGTCCGGGACGAGCGGGCGCTTGCAAGCGCTGGGGATTTCGCAGGGGGGAGGTGACAGATCAACGTTTGGTCCACGACTCGTCGACAAGCCAATAATGAGACATGAAATCACGGCCGGCCAGTGTTGGATATGCAGGTCTTGTCAACTTGGACGATGATTCCCCTGTGCCGTGCATGTCAGCATATCAATGGCCTTGGTTGTGGACTGTACGTACTGTAAGAAACCTCAATGTGGTGCCATATTGCCATATCAGGTAGGAAAGGTGACTAGGTGTGGGTGGGGTGTGTTGGATGTGAAATACTACTCACCTATCTAGAGTTGCAATGATGTGACGCCCGATAATGCAACTATGGGAAAGTTGCGGCGATCTTGAAGGTACATGTATTTGAGTTGCAGCAAGTTGGAAACAGAGGCATATCTCCAAGCTGAACAGATGGAGGCAAAAGAGCTTCCAACCCATCGCCCCGAGACATTATCCATATACACACCTCTATTGCAGAAGGCAAACCATGGAAGTTTACTCTCCAATTCCATAGTCAAGGACAGAGTTGGCTGTTTTATTGCAACACTATTATGGATGATGCTCTGTGAAGTCGCCTGTTGTACTGGATTGCTGCCTGCTACTGCGCCATCACGCTGGCTACCAGCTCTACAATGAGTACCAGAGGATTTGTCAACAGCAGCAGCAACAACAACAACAACAACAACAACACTTCTTCCATCCTTCATGACTATGCTGTCCTCTCACCGGGCACTCCTACATGGGTTCTTTTCCTTTCGAGTCTTTGGCAGTAAAAAAACTCACCAATTAACCCTGGACTGGCGTATTTAACTTGCCATAAATCACTCCATAATAGAATATTCTGTGGGCATTCACCACTGCGTACCGCTCTTCTCCAGAGCTCTCTTCTCCACAGCTCTCTCCTTTCAAAGTGATATCTGTCCTATAATTCCCTCATCCTCACCTCTCCCTCCCCGTGAAGACCAGCTCGTCCATCCTAACTCCAACAAAAAAAAATTATCAAACCCTCTGTCTCGCCCCTGACACCCTCCATCCACCCCTTCGCCTTCCGACCCGGAACCCCGAGTGAGACCCAGCCCAGACCCAGACCCGACCCCCGAGTGAGACCAGCAATCCCATTCTCCTCGCCCATCTCGAAACACCAACAAACCAACAAAGCTGCGGCCTCAGCTCCCCCTCCCCGCCGCAACACCTCCCCAAATCCCATACTCAGCATCTAAACAATAAACAAATCCCATAATCTGCCTCGCTCCGCCCATACCCACAATCCTCCGCCCACAATCCTCCCCACCAGTCTGACACGGGAACTCCACTCCACCCGCCCATCGCTGTGCTGGAACCACCACCACCTACCTCATTGTAGTCCATAGCCCATATATCAAATCCATGGCAAGCGTACATCTGCAGAAACACACCCGTTAATGCTACCCTCCCCACAACACCCAAATGCTCAAACGGTAAGAGAGTGCGTAATCGATAATCGGCGATCTAGACGCGGGCCCGGCCCCGCCTTCGTGCTGCGGAAAGTGGGTCATGTGCGAGACAGCGAGAGATTGGGATGGAAATCTTTGCTCGAGATGGGACTTGTCAGCTTGTGCGGTGCTGAAGATAGGCGGGGGGTATGCGCGCGGGTTGATAGGGATGGGAATGTGGAGTGAGGGGCGGCGAGGGGGAATGGAGGGGGAATGCATTTGCTGACGCGGTGGCTTGTTGGTTTTGTGAAGGGCGGTTATGGAGGATTTTTGGGGTAAGGGATGGGCGAAGGGATAGCTGAAGGGTAAAGGGAAACGGGAAAGGGATGGAAAAGGGTGGTGAAAGGGTTACTGTTGTTGTTGGGGGACGAAAAGGGTGTATCCAATGTTGTTGGGATGAACAAGTGTTACCCCCCTTTCCCTCATTTCAAACCCCAAAACGCGTCCACGCGCCAAAGACATCAACAAAGGCCCTCCTCCGTGACGCGGTTGGTGCCACGTACTGACTCTTCTCGCGTCAAAACCGGGCACAACGGCATCCCCCGTCCTCCCCACCAGGAGCTCCAGCCAGCCAGGCAGCCCGCTCCGACGCAGTTTCAAGATGTGACAGGTGTTATATTTCTACACTATGCGACAATTGTTGGTTTCCGCGCTGTACTCGGTACAGTTCATGTATGACCTCCCAAATCCGTACTCCCGCCCGTCCAAAACGCCAGATCGCTCGCTACAGTAAACTCAACTCAACTCTCGTGGTATGGTAAGAGGCCCTTCTTGAGCTCGAAGACGATTTCTGCCGCTTCGTCGGCGGAGCGGGCTTCGAAATCGTAACGTTTGGTCTCTGTGGCGCGGTAGAGGACGACCTATTAATACGAGTTAGCCTTAATCTGATCTACGAAGCCCCTGTACCCCCTCCCCAAGTAATACCAATACCACATACCTTAAAATTCGTCGGATGTCTCCTCGTAACCTTACACCCAACAACGTTACTAAAATGCACGGTCGTCGTCTTCCCCTCCCCCTTCCCCTCAAACAACGTCTTCCCGCTCGGCCCAGGCATGATATGTAAGTACTCGCCATCAATCACGAGCATCCTCTCGTTCATCCCAACAAACCGCATCGGCTGCCGGCGCCACACAATGTACTTGCGGAAATTCTCCGGGTTCCCCTCCTCATCCTGCTTCATCGCCTCGCGCGCGAGCGGATGCATTGGCGATCCCGCCATCCCTGTCGGCGCCGCGGCGCCCTTGCGCATCTTCCGTAGTGCCGCACCGGACGGGGCGTCGAAGGAGGCTCTAAGGGGGGTGCGTGGGGATGTGGAGGCAGGAGAGCCGGACATGGTGAGGGGGCCGTCTGTGGCGAAGCGACGGCGCGAGAGGTCTAGGTCAGTGCGTGCGCCAATGGATTCAACGGTTCGGTCGAGAAGGACGACTGTTCCGGAGCCAGAATGCTTGAGAACGTGGTTTGCTTTGTCGAGGTGTCGCTTCTTGCAGACGATGTCGAGGACTTCGGCGAGGTAGGTGGTGGTCGCTACGTTGAGCGTGACTAACTGTCCCGGAGAGGCGTCGAGGGAGTGGATGTGAATGCGCAGAAGTTTCTGGGCGCCGCTGGGAGCTGCATTGCCGCGGATGGGGGCGGCAGGCATGTCGGCTAGTGTATTGGAGCGGATGTTGGGCATGGTTGTTATGACAGGATTGCGCGGCGATGGGGCTGGAGCGGCGGAGGAGACGGACGAAGGGACCTTGGAGACGGGTATGAATTCGTCATCGCCGGTTGAGCCAGGAGATTCCTGCTGGAACTGTGGAGTGCGCTGTTCGTTCTCTTTGAACTGCTCCTCTGTGGCTTCAACGAGTGCAAATTCGTCGTAAGACGATGACCCAGAACGGGAACGGGCCACCTTGTTATTCACAGTCGTGAATGCCACGACGGGCTTCGTTCGGTCGAGAGCTGGAAAGTCGTAGTCCACTTCGTCATCTTCGATTAGACGGAGGGTCCAGCGATTGACGTTCAGTTGCTTCGCGGCTAGCACGGGCTCTTTCTTCTCCTCAGCATACCTGTTCAAACTCAACCCGATCAGATCAGCTACTGTAACCTGGCGATCTCCTCCTTCTCCGCCGTGTATCGTTCGCCGGATAAGCACTTCGTAGAATGTCTCACTTGATGATGCAAATGGTGCCCATATGCGTAGCCTCAACGGATTCGGGTCACCTCGGCCAGAGTAAGACGCAAACTTCTCAAACGGCATTGCTGCCTTCGTTCGTTTCGCACTTATTGCGGCTGATAAAAGGCTCTTTGGTTGTATAAAGCTAATAGGGCGGGGAGGTGGGAGTGCTTGTAGGATTGCCGGCGCTGGCTTTGATTTCTTTAGAGACATCTTTGCCAAACTGCGAGGCAGCGTTCCAACAGCGTGGTGGTTTAAAGACGTAGATGTGCGACCCTCGACGCTGCCCAAGATGGATTGGGAGTCTACACTGTCTCCAAAGGCCGAAGACATATCCGACACATATGAGTAGTCTTCCATCTCATCCTGGGACGTGTCCACACGTCGGCCAGCCTTTGCTGGCACTTTCCCTTGCGCTTGCTGTCTCTTAAAGCCGGAATTATCGAACTCGTTCTCAGACGACATCTCGCTGCTCGTGACCGTATCTCGCCGTGCTCTTTCCTTGACGGCTTCAACGGCAGACTGCGATCCACGACGAGCACCAGGCTGTCGGGGAGGGGACGTCAAATTGGGCGAGCTTTTTGAGTTGGAATTCCGTATCGGAGAAGAGCCAGAGCGTAATCGCACCGGCATCTTCGCAAACTTGATTTGTTGGGCAGCTCGCTGCTCTTCTTCGTCGCTGTCATCGCTGAGATCACTGCTATCTTCTTCTTCCATCTGTTCACGCCTTCTCCTCCTCTTTGTAGCGATCCCAGGCCCCATTGTATCTCCAGCGCCTTCGCCAGTAACCATACCGCCTTCTTCAAATTCATCATGGGATGATCCTGGCCGTAAACCAAATCTAGGCGCTTTAAAGTATTCGGAGGTTATCGCGGTAGGTATCGGAGGTGAATGTGTTCGCTTCACGTGTGAGGGGTTCTGGCGCCATCCAGCGGCCTTGAAGCCAGGTGTATTGAGGAATGCATCGTTGAGGGTAATAAGGCGTTCACCAACACCATCTTTAACGGTATTCAGATAATTTGACCGAAGCTGATATGAAACAAGGCTGAAGGATTGTTAGTGACAGTGTCCATAAAGGCAAACGGTTCATGAATGCGATGGGACAATGGACATGGCAAAGGCATAGACTTACTCTTCCACTTGTATAACAGACATTGTGTCAAGTATATTCTCACTGTAACATTGTTACTTATATAGTAACAAGTTGCGACAGCAGATTCACAGCTTTCTGGACTGGTGTTTTGAGGGTTTGTCGTCGTCGTCCGCCACGGCAACAAGGCGTGGAGATAGGCACGCAGCCTTATCGCATATGCGGGCTACAAGGGTCATGATTTAGCGTCCTTTCAACAATAATCGCAGCCTTCCCAAGTGCCACCATTCGAAATCATATTCAACCAACGCCACCTCATTTCACAATAACATGGGTCTAGTTGATTATTCGGATTCCGAGTCGTCGGACAATGAGCAGGTCTCAGAGACGAAGAAGCCCAGCAAGGGATCATTTCAAAAAGTGGTCGATCGTTCAAATCCAGGAAAGATAAAGGTATCCTTACCTACGACGACAGCGTCAACCAACGATGAGCCGCCTGCGAAGCGCGCAAAGACGAGCGGTGGAGGCGCATTCGGCGGATTCAACTCCTTTCTGCCTGCTCCGAAAAAGACGGGGGCGGCTGCTCCAAAGACCTTGGGGGGTGTCGCAACGGGGAATGGAAGAGGTGGCGGACTAGGCTCTGGGGTCAGCTTGAAGACCGGGGCGGCACCAGCATTCAGTCGAAATCCCGAGCCTATCTACGATGGCGGAGATAATTATGATGGTCATGGAGAGGCAGAGGGCGGAGAGAGCAGCATGGGTTTACCCCCACCACATGCGTCAGCGCAAATACCGGCGGCAGACGTGAAATTGGTAGGGAAGCCATTGATGTTCAAGCCTTTGTCCGTGGCTAGGAAACCACAGAAGAAGAAGAAGCCAGTCATCACACCTAAGACAGCAGAGGGGCCGGCTTCACAAGGGCCGTCGGAAATGTCGGAGGCGCCGAAGGCACCACAGCCAAAAGTCTCGCTTTTCTCTGTGCCCCAGGACGCAGACGACGATATTGCTCCCGAGCGGAAGGGAGAGTATCAACCTATGTTATACGGCGCAAAACCCGAAGAGGACGAAGAGCCTGAAGTCGTCAAAAACCCATACTACGAAGATCAATACAACGACGCTGAATCCCGTCACACCGTCCCGCGACCCGCTGCCCCAGCAGCTGCTCCAGCATCCACAACCTCCAACTCCCTCGACAATATCGCCTCTGATCTACAACTTTCAGCCTCAGAACGGCGCCAACTCTTTGGGCGGCAAGGCGCGCGAAATCTCACCGCCAGCAAAGTTATAAACTTTAACACAGACGAGGAGTACCGCAAAAACGAGGAACTGCGCTCTGCCGGCGAGCAGGCGGTGCACAATCCCGTCCGCTCCATTGCACCAGGCAAGCACAGCCTCAAGCAGCTTCTCAATGCAACGGTGAGCCAGAAAGAAGCATTGGAGGAGAGCTTCGCAAAGGGGTATGCGAACCGGAAAGAAGCGAGTGGGAGGTATGGGTGGTAGGCGTATAGCCACAGAAGTTGCCATAATAGGAAGATGTATGGATTAAATAGACATAATGATACCCTTATTTACTCTGATTGACCCTTTCATACATTATCTGACGGTGCCACGGGTCCACTTTCACATGCAACTACATATCGTATATTCACGTCTCACTTGGTCAGGGCTCTGCGAGCAACAGCCCATAGCATAACCCTTTCGATGCCCTCGGTATCAAACCCAGGATATACAATATGCACCAGAGCGATGTAAGCTTCCAGCGTGCCTAGTTGCATCTCACCCACGCTCTTCTCGCCAGAGACATTTCTCACCAAAGACTCTTGTCGCCGACTCTTCTCGCCGAAGGTACTTCTCACTGAAGGCATTTCTCACCAAAGGCACTCGGGTGGTGTCGTACATGTAGTATCCCTTCTTCCATAACGCACTAGAACAAAGCGTCCAGTTCAGCGTTCGTTTTGTTGTTCTTTCTGAGCTTCAATATGCTTAGCCCACTTGATTGTATAAGGATTCAGGGTGATGTCATGATATGGGCGAGCAGGTATGGCTTCACATGTGGTAAATACCAGTCCAAGTCCTCTCATCTTCTAGGAAGATAAGGCTTCATTAGTAATATTGCAACTATCCATATATTAAAAATATCCCTCACCGCGTACACCTCTCACCCGGCTCCCTCCACTCCAGCCTCAACCCCTCAAACACCCTCTTCTCCGCCGTAAGCATATCCGGTGCCTTCCCCCCTACCCCCTCCAAATCCACCCACGCCCCATCATCCCTTCTCCTCACCCCACTACTATCAAACTTCAGCCCCAAAACCGCCTTCACATAGCGCCTCAGATCGCGCTGGAACGTCGTCCCGCTCGTCCATCCTGCTACCGCGCACCCAACCGTCCGCCAGGGGCTAACAATAATATCGACTCTGCGGTGGATATTCGGGTTTTTTGCCCTTGGGTCCGCAGCTACATCTTCTTCTCGTGTGGGCCATGCTGGGTCCTGCCATACTACAAGCGCCTTGTCGAGGGTGTCGAATCCCGCGCCGAAGCCGCCGGCGTGGCCTATGTCGCCTTTCCAACTCACGGGCGTCTGGTTGCGCTCTGAGTTCGCAGTCGACAGCAATAGCGTGTGGGTAATCCACTCCCGGCGCTCAATCTCCTCAACTATGCGCTGGACGAGATATAGCGTGACTGTCTCATCAGGGTTACTGACAACAACGTCTACATCGCCGCTCTCTGGCTTCCCCCGCCGATGCCCGCCAACGATAGTCATTTGGCAGCCAGGGGCAACGTGGTTCGCAGCTTCGAGAATGACAGCGCCTATGTGCTCGACTTCGTCGCGGGGGATTTTCTGCTGAAATTCTTCGTAGAATTTCACCCCTATCTGCTGCACGCGTGATAGATTGTTCCATCCGAACTCGACCACGTCGTCGAGATCCCGCCATCCCTTTCTGTAGTAGAAGTCCCTGGCGCCCCTCGGGCCCACACCCCAGATTTCATAGAATAGATTCAGCGTCTGCATCTCGGGATCATTGTCAATGTCTTCAACTGTGCCTATGTGGCCGGTATCATTGAACTCCTGCCACAGTGCCGCTATTCTCTCGGAGCATCCTGGAAGGTGGAGGATCTCCTCGGCTGTCGAGATGGTATGGGGGTATGCAGCTAGTGAAGCAATTGAAGTGGAATATGCGCGGACGCCCACCTCGTCATTGGTGAGAATACGGGACTGGCGGATGCGGACGAGGAACTCAATAAAGGGGTCGTTGAGGGTGTAAAGTGGGGTGGGCCGTTGGCAGGAGTAGTTTGTTTTCAGGTAATCCGGGATAGGGGGCAGCTCGGGGGGGTTATCGTGCTCAGAGGTTGTTTGACGGATAAGTGGTGTGGGGCGTGTCACCGAGGCCGGGGAAGATGGAGATTGCAGCGGATTGGAGCGTCTGGGGAATGGAGGTGACGAAGCGTGCGGTGAGTCGCTCTGGGCGCGAGCAATGATTTCTCCTGGTAGTGGGCTTTTGGGTGGCTGGAACTGGGTTATTACTTTGATATTTCACATGGGCTAGGAACCATACCTTCATAACACTGCGATGTTTTGGAGCTTCAATCCGTCGTCCCTCATATACTATATACCCATCAAGCGGTAGCAAATATCCAGCCGCTACACTTTCCTCGAACCAAGAGAGTTTGACAACTTTGACCGTGCCATTCCCATTAAACACTGGCCCTTCTTGAATGGCTGTTGGCGTTCTGGGTGTGTGTGGTGATTTCTCTCTCGGGGGGCTGCTGATAATCTCCCTCCTCGGGCTCTGCGCAGGACTCTGGACATCTTCGGACTGCGTGCTACTACCACTCCTTCCTCTAACGCTTCTCTTTTGATTTTCATCCTCTTCGGCTTCGGACTCAGTGCTCGAATCAATAACCACGACCTCCACGTGATCAGGAATGTTAATTGGACCAGTGCGTCTCTTCTTCCTTGCAGGTCCCTCCTCTTGGCTCCTCCCACGACTCCCCTGATCCGCAACTAAGTTTTTATTTTCTCCCTCGTTCCCTTTTACTTCCTCAGTCCACAACTTCCTACTCCTCAATTCAAACTCAGCCCTCTGCTTCGTTGCTACCTTCCCAAGCACCAGCTTGGCCTCGGTGATGTCATACGTCAGATTAGGAATCTCATCTTCGAGCTGCAGGCGCTTCTCCTCTGGTATGTGCGCGGATAGTAAATATGTTATGGGGAGGTCAAGAGGCATTGTTTAAGCTATTTGAAATGGGAGTGCCATAGTGTCATCGTGGTGTGGTGATTATGATGGGCAGTCTTGTGGTGGCAACTGAGACCGGCTAGCTTGGTACATATTTGAAAAGAGGTCATTAGAAGTTTAGTTTACCGCGCTGCGAGTATCAGCCAGAATACTCTAAGTTGCAGTTGTTCGGCCTTTGAGTGAAGGTATCGTGGCTTTTGAGGTGCTGTCATTGTCAAATACTCCACTCGGCTAAATATATGGACTACCATTTAGCATATTCTTGTCGACGATCATGAGAATTCAACCACACAGAGTCTGGGACAGTTAACTAAAAAAAGTATAATATTCAGCTAAGGACAGTTAATAGAATTTTATAGTATTTTGTCCATCGAATTCAAGATTGCATGGTTTAGACGGGGATTAAAATTGCTCTCAAATGGATATAAATTATACTCTAAATATTTTTGTACGCTTCAAATCTAATATATATGTATATCGCCCAAATTTTAATTGCCATGCTAAACACACAACCATTGATTACTCATAGATCATAACCTCGCTGATGCCAAGATACATCTTTCCGTCATCTCTATTACCTTTCCACCATCTTCACTTCAATCTTGAACCCCAAATCCGCAAGGCGGTCTATGAGAGGTTGGCCAAGAGTCGCAGGGGTCATGAAGCCTCCACCAAGCTTCTTCGCCGTTACATCGTCTTTCAGAAGGGTAAGGGCAGCCTGAGAGACCAAGAGACCAGACACTGTGATGAAGATTAGCAACGCATCCTTGATAATCGCCATCATCCGCCCTGTCTGGAGCACGAATGACGCGAGGTTGGAGCGCTTACTCTCATAGAGACCACCGCTGTATCTAACCCTCGCATGGGCTCGTGTCAACGTGTCGACGTTAGGTCGTCCCACCGCGCGATACTCTACAAAATGGCTCTTCGCTTCCTCCTCCGAGGCTCCGTATCCTCGCGGAGGAACAACCTTACGCATCGCCCACGTGGCAAATGGGAACTTCAGTAGAATCGTCCCAACTGTCAAGACAAAATGTATGAAGAGCGCAAAGAAAATGCTCCTGGCCCTGGCGTACTCCGAGAATCTGAAGTTCGGGCCATAGACCTTTCCATTACCAATAAGACCCCATGACCTCTCGACGATGGGCACATCACTTGATGCGCCAAAATATGTAGTCAGAATTCCCAGATCGGGATGCTCTCGCACCCCAAGGATGTTCGTCCATGCTGACTGCGTGGTCGGGGCCGTGGGTCCAGGGATCGGGGAGTGTATGAAGGGTTTCTTGATACGACGGAGGTCAGCAATGCTGAAGTGGTCTACGACTTCTAGGATCGAATGCAATGTCCCGCCAGAGAACGTGCTCCTATCTGTAATTAGTGATAGCCCTCGAGAAGAAACACGTGATCATAGAGATGGATTTAGAGATTGCTGGCAGCGTAAATGGAGAAAACCTACTTGATATCCTCCACCGAGAAGATGACTTCCCGTGTCGTCGTTGAGAGTTCTTGGTGGATGCGCTTTACAATCGCATATGTAACCAGGTCTGACGGTAATGATTCAACGGCGGACTGCGATATAAGAACAGCTCCTGTGCTCTTTGCCACCTTCTCATACTTCTTGACCATACTCATGACCCAGGGGACCTCGCCCGTGATGTCCAAGTAGTGCGTGCCATTCTCAGCACAAGCCTTGAGTGCCGGCTCGCCGTAAACACAGAATGGACCAACCGTTGCGATAAGGACCGTCGTCTTCCTAGCCAGATCGGCAAGTTCGGCCTCGTCCAAGTTGCATATTTCAATTGCTACACGTGAATGTCAGCCAGTGTCGACAATGGCGGATTCAGCCTCGCGATGCCTAAATGCCGGGAGGATTTGAAGCGCTGCTTTTTGACTGGTCTTACAAGGCTGCTCCCTGTCCGGGTTAATCTTCGCACATGATTCGGCCACAGCTTTCAGCTTCGATTCTGATCGCCCGGCAATGGCCCATCTGATATCCGTAGGATAGGACCTCGCAATGTGTTTTGCTGTCTCCTTTCCGGTGTAGCCGGTGGCACCCCAAAGCACGATGTCATATTGGCGGGTAGACATCTCAAATGACGGTGATGTGGATTCTAGTGTAAAGATAGAGCTTTAATATATCTAGTATGTACCCTTATATAGTCTATACGGACAACAATTGAAATCGTGAAACGGCGAGTGTTGGAAGAAAGGTTAACTCAAGTAGAGTACAGATATTAGCATATGGGTCCTCATGTTTTCTCTGATTCAAAGAGGAATTATTGGTACCTGGGCCTGGATCTGTCGATTGATCATATTTAGGCTTTGGTGTGTTTCGTATGCACCAGACAGATTATGTAATATGGTTTGGTTTGTGTTGGGCCTGTTGGGTTGCACATGTTTTACCCAGATGTGGTTAGTGTGATCACGGTTAATTTTTGCTTCCCGTTGGTGTGCTCGTTACTCGTGTAGTAGCTCGCTCAAGTCTAAAATTAAGGCACCAAGGCTGCAATTTTCAGATTAGGGCTCACTAAAAAAGATCTCGCGAAATGCTATCGACGAACACCGAAATCAGAGTAGACGGCCCAGCGACAAAGAACATCAACGACTTGTTCATCACCGCCAAACCACAGCCAAGATGACCAAACGCACCAAGAAGGTCGGAGTTACCGGCAAGTACGGTACTAGGTACGTTTAATAAACCCAGGAGAAGAATCCCTCGAACGACATCTACTCTATTGCGACCTTTTTCGACATTTCGACAAGTGGGATCCCACGAGGACCATTTGGGCACGAACGAAACAATCCGACCAGCAAACCATTCGGAATACCGCTCAGCTTCGGGACGCAATTTGCAATCTGCAATAGAAAGGAGATGAGAGAAGAACTGGCGCTGACTGTTCTCTTCCCACAGATACGGTGCTTCCCTCCGTAAGCAGGTCAAGAAGATGGAAATCACACAGCACGCCAGATACGTCTGCACGTTCTGCGGAAAGACCACTGTTAGACGCCACTCTGTCGGAATCTGGGACTGCAAGTCGTGCAAGAAGACCGTCGCCGGAGGCGCTTACGTCGTTTCGTATGTGCCCCTCATATCACCGAAAATTGCTCCATCGAGCCTGTCTGAATGGGAATACTAACGGACATTACAGCACCCCAGCCGCCGCTGCCATGCGTTCCACGCTCCGCCGTCTGAGGGAAATTGCTGAGGTTTAGATGGGATGACATTGTTGTGGATACATTTGCTGGTGCATGGGATCGGTCCCTCCGGATGAGAACCGATATTTTGTCGATGCGGACTTCGATCATGGCTGCGATAGGGTCTCAATGAAATCAATCAAAATACCTCGCTGCGAGTCACGATAATCTCACTTGAGTGTCAGACTTGGTCGGCTCTTTGCTACTATTGATAACGTGATATGAAAATGAAATGGGAGTGGCTGGATGGATGACGTGGATAATATGCTTATAGGAATCGAGGGGTGTTCGCTGCACTGCAACACCAATCCGCTGGCTGCCTGTGTACAGTCACCAAATAGCCTTGGGGCAGTCGACTGCCTCACTGTCACGGCTATGGATGATGGCACACAACCATGGCAAACGAGTATCGATATTGCCACCAGATCAGAGAGCTTGGGTCGCAATGGCGCGAGTTCAACTGGACTCGGTGAATATATTGGTATGGCCTTGCCTTCCCTTTCTGGTTGGATTTGACTAGCATATTCCAGGTCATGTGCTGTCGATACGGCCACGCAAGCTGCAGCGAGGCAGATGCCTATCTATATTTCCCTATCCCACCCATCCGAAGTTCACGGACTCCATCTCGACAACTCTTCTCTGACTCACACCTATTTCAATGATGTATATATCCAAGTCTTAACCCCCAGTTGCGAGACAGCAACTCCGTGATGGTTTGTTCAATCCCTCATAAATCACGTGCTTGCCACATGTCTTAAGGCTCAAGAAAATGCAAGTGTCATAGGGTCTTATTTAGCCTCCAGAGCTGAACGACAGACCCAGTCGACCCAGTCAGGTCACATTCTACCTTCCGGGACGGGATTGGATAATCATCCGGGAAAACAACCTTTTGATGTTCCCGAACGGGCAATAGCTTGTCATAGCTGGCCTTCAAGGTGGTCGCACTAGGGTGCGTGCAGACCCGTGGAGAGTCAAGTAAAGGCTCACACGTCCTGTCCTCAGGTCCAAGTGTTTCAAAGATCACGTTTTGTTTTTCGACAGTAATAGATCTGTGGTTTGCAGGGGGAGGGAACATTGATCGCATCCTGCTCCTGCGCCTTCCGCCACGGATAAATCCACGGACAAACACATAAGGCCTGCCTGCCTGGAACTGTACAGTACGTACAAAAGAAGGCCCGCAACAGGTCCTGGCCGCACAGTAACAACACCCCGTACATTACAGGCGGCAAGAAGAGTGGTCACGACGTCCTTGCGTTGCCAAGTGTACCTACCGGTCCTGCACTCCCTCCTGCAGTCTTGCGGTCCTGCAGTCCTGCCGTTACAAAAGACTCCATAACAAGGTAATAACAGATATAACTGAAATAACCGGTAATTACTCATAACACAGAGAGTGGTAGTGGTGGTCGACAAAAAGCCAGTTTGGCACAGTTTTTGGCATAGTTTGGCACATTTGCTCTCATTCGAACCATTCGAGCCATTCGAGCCACACACACTTTTGAACCGTGTGGTCACCGCTCCAGGCGACAATTCGTCCATGCGCCCTCGCTTTTGGAGGGGAAGATCATTCTCAATTGGACTCGCTTCCGCAATGCGCTAGCGTATCCGCAATAACCCATCGTCCGCCCAGTTCCTTACTCCGCCGCCTCTCTTACCCTCCAACGCCCCGTCCTATCTCACTTCCGCTGCTTGTTCACTATCGCATCTCACCAGAAAACATATTAAATTCACAAAAGCCACCTTTATGACTTCTTCAACTCTACAAAACATCGACGACTTTTCTACTGTACCCTATCGGCATGGCTGATCAGTGTATTGTCTGCCTGGACGTTTTGGACGTCGACGATGCCTTACCTCCCAAGGGAGACATCGTCGAGTCTGAAGTTATAGTCAAATCCGAACTTGAAGATCCCGCCTCCGCCACAGCTCACAACCACCACGCCGACACCCAACAATTACTTGCAGTTATACAAACCTGCGGGCATATACTACATGATTCATGTCTGAAAGAATGGATCCAAAAAGCAAACAGCTGTCCCATTTGCCGCCAGCAATTTAACCTTGTCGAAGTCCATGACAAAACGTCTGGTTAGTCTACCGCCCTGGCCCCCACACCTGCCAACCTACTCCAGAACACTCTTGCTAACTCCCCATTACAGGCCCGATACTTTCTACATACACAGTCGAAGATAAAAAGCAAGTCGCCGACTTTGACCCACTCGCCTGGATTGAGGATCAAGCCCAAGAGGAGGAGTTGTCGAGGCCATGCCCAATATGTGCCAGCTCCGATGACGAAGAAGTCCTTTTGCTATGTGACTCATGCGATGCGCCATACCACACATACTGTGTTGGTCTCGATAATGTGCCTCATGGGCAGTGGTTTTGCATGGAGTGTGAGCACGAGGGCGCAAATGCCCGCACTGCAGAGCCGTCCATGGCATTTGGCGGAACTCGCCGCAGAAACAATGAACGCACACAAGCCCAGGTCCGACAGGCACGCTCAAGACGCCGTAACCGCACGGAAGCATGGCAGGGCGCTTGGAACCAAATCAGCGACCGCATTTATGACGCCTTGGAGCTGGATATCGACTATGACGAAGACAACTCCCTACAAGCATATCGGCAGTCCCAGCGTCGCACAGAACGAGAGCGTCGTGAGCTTCAGCAGTGGCAACAGCGCCTCGCGATCGCTAGCCGCCAGGGCGCAAGAGAGGTTTTCAGGAACTCAGCACGGTCAATACTGCACAACAGAGTTGAGCCACCAGCACCCAGAGAATCTGATGAAGAGCGAAGAGCATGGGAAACATATGATAGAGTCCGAGAAGCCGAAAATTCTGGCACTCCCACTCGGAAACGAAAGTCGCGATCCACGACGCAATCCCCAAGAGAACCGGCAACCAATGAGCCGGAACGCAAACTCAAGCGTCCTCGTACCCGTCGAGTTATGGAGAATGCAGCAGGATCCTCATCCGATGGGAATCCAGAATCGCAGCGACCAAATGGCCACCGCAGACCGGTTGCCCCTGCGCCTCGGAGGCCAATGACTCCCAGTGCTCTCACTCCCAATACAGCGGTAGCAGCACCATCATTCCTCTCATCACTTCTGAAAGAAGTTGAAATGAGTGCAGCGAAGGAAGATGACAGCGACAACAATGAGCACGTCTTCGTGAACACGAATTCTACGAGTCCTGCGGCAGACCATTCATCTCCCGTTTTGTCGCCAGCCACCAGCAGCTACTCTACACCCCGCGCCATGTCATTGACACCACCACCCAATGGCCATGGTATCCGCAGATCTGGATCTCCGTTATCACTCAGCTCGAGAGTAGAGCCAATCTACCCCCCAGCTGACTACTCTCCAAATCGCTCTCCTCCAGAGAGGACGGCGAGAGCCGAGAATGGGCACTCAAGGCCTAGCACACCGCCTGCTAGCCATCTCCGCCACCCGAAACCCCGAAGACCACAACAACCAATCCCAGGAGAGAGTTCTCCGACACAACCCATCTCCATCGAAGCCAAAGAAGGCATCCAAAAGATCGTCAAGAAAGCACTTGACCCACACTACAAGAAACCATCTGGCATCACAAAAGAACAGTATGCGGATGTCAACCGTTTGGTTTCAAGGATGTTGTACGATAAGATAGTTGACCCTACTGCCTTGAACGATGACGAAAAGTCAGCGTGGGAAAAGGTTGCCTCTGCTGAGGTAGCCAAGGCCGTCGAAGGGCTTTCTGCATGAGCCAATTTGGCGTGTTTTAGGGCATACTATTGATGATGGCGTTTAACAAATTGGCGATACAATGGGCGTCTTTGCATTTTACATAGGATACCCACTGGTTGCCGGATATGGCTTGCCATAGAGTTTCGGGGTTTTTCACGACTAAACGATTAAGCTGGGCATGCGAGGGCGCTGCTCATTGTGTATAATTTAGATAGATACGAGTTCGTAGAATGGTTGGATGACATTTTATGATATATGCTCCAATATTTGCTCTGTACAGGTCATTTTGTGAAGTCCTTGTTCAGCTACAGTAGATGTCCCGTCTGTGCGTAAAAATACTCGTACATTTGATCGCCGTTAGAAGCATCCATTTCTCTGACCGACATTCGAATAGATTCACATCTGGCGGCCTATAGGCTACTTATAGTCGTCAATGAATACATTGGTCACTCAAAACCAAACCGAAACACATGAAATCAGGGCAAGTAAACATATAAATTCAGTATTCATGGATATGGAATATCAGCAGTATCTATCTAACCGTACCATGTAGGGAAATCTGCAGGTACCGCTAGCGAAAAAAAGTCTGCAGTCATTCTTTCTAGGCACCTATAAATGATCGAAACATTCTCGGAGGAATAGGTCTTGATGATAAGGAAAAGGTGCCATGGATTGAAGAAGGAAAAATCTCTCCGCTCGCGTCTTTTGTAGGAAGAATTATTTCTCGGTTAACACGTGACTTAGCGTGTCAGTTGGTAAATTGAGACTAGTATGTATTGGGAATAGCGTAAATAAAGTTAAGAAAGTTGAGCTCGTGTCTCTGGACGTCCCTGGGTAGACTTGGTAGCAGAGCAAGAGCACCACCACAGGCTCGAGCAAGACGATATCAAGATGGCGGCATCAAGTAGAGGAAGTGAGGCTGCGGCCTCGCTCATACGTATGTCCATCCCACCCAATGCCAGCAGACAGACCCGTCAGCGCAGCACAGCAACTAACCCATCTCCCCAGGAGCAACGAAAAACCCCCGTCTCTGCAACACCTGCATCTCCTCCCTTCCCTCCCGCCGCACCTACGCCGCCGCCGCCGCGCAACTCAAGCCCTCCGAGCCCACTCCCTCCGCCTCCCCCGCGACTTCCACCGAGCTCGCCCCTTACACCATCAAATCGGGGATCTGTCTCTCGCGCGCCCCTGTGCTCACGCAGCCGCTGCACCCCTTCGAGTCGGCATTCTTCTTCTACCAGCGTCGACTCAATGAGCGTCTTGCCATGCCGTTCTCGCGGTACTTCTACTTCAAGAAGGGCACGCCGCTCGACTCTGCGTGGAAGCGGAAGGCGGCTACGCGTGGTGGGACGCCCGCGAGGGACCTCGGCGCGTATAATCCGTATAGTGAGACGGGGTGGAATGATGAGGTGATGGTGGGGGATCGGATTAGCGAGAAGAAGGTCACGAGGGAGGCGCTGGTGGAGGATGCGATGAACAGGGGCCTTAGTGCTGAGGAGGCGGGTGCGGAGGAGGAGGAGGTGGTGGAGATTCCACAGGAGAGATATACCGAGGCGGATACGGCGAAGGATGTTAAGAGGCTTGATAGGAAGCTGACAAGGACGCTGTATCTGGTTGTCAAGAACAAGGAGGGGAAGTGGACGTTCCCTTCGGGTGAGCTGGTTGGCAGGGAGAACTTGCACCAGGTATGTTGATATCCCCTTGAGGTTGTCTTTGCAAGTGAAGCAGAAACTAACTACTACTACAGGCTGCGGAACGTGTGCTCGTCCAGTCAGCGGGGATGAACATGAACACCTGGATTGTTGGCCACGTGCCTATCGGACACTACATCTCGAAGCCGCATCTCGGCGGCGACTCGGCGATTACGAAGCAGGGCGAGAAGACCTTCTTCATGAAAGGCCGCATTATGGCCGGACAGGCGGACTTGAAGGAGAACGCGTTCGGGATCACCGACTGGAAGTGGCTGACGAAGGAGGAGGTTCAGGGCCATGTTGGTCCGAAATACTTCAGCCATGTTAAGAATATGATGGCTGCGAGGTAGACTTGGGGAAGAGAGAAGTTATAGAGGCCCGGCATCTATGAGGGGTCGGATGGCGACGGGGAGATGGTGAGAATACTTGTAGTATAGAGAGTGTATCATATTGTCAACATTACGGTGTATCATGTTCATCTTTTCAAGGTCTTATATATGAATTATGCGGCGTTCACACGTGGAGTACTCCTGCCGTTTGATAGTTGCAGTACTTTTGAGCATCAAACACCAGCCTCATCACCGGTAAGTTTTTCTGATTCTCTCGTCTCTTCATCGCATCCTGTTCAACTGCTTCTTCTCATCATCATCGCTCTGTCTGTTTTACTTTCGTTTTGCTTTACTCCTTTCACTTTTATCGCTACTCTTAATGCCTCTACAAGAAGACGACATTGAGGCGGGAGAATCAAGTGATGAACTCCAACCAGGAGAGAGCAGCTTTAACGATGACAAACTGAAAAAGTCGGCAATTGAGGAAGGCATTCTCATTGGGGAATTTCGCAAAGACAAGAAGGGCAAGAGGAAATTGGTCTATGCCTCATTCGATGCAAACCTCAAGTTCATCCGGAGGCTTTCAAAGAAAGATATTAAAGGAAACATTGTCGGTGGCAAGAAGTACAATGGTGGTGCCGTTAGTCACAAGGATGTGACTAAAAGAGTAAGAACAGCCAACGACAGCAAGAACGACTAACGACAGCAAGATCGACCAACAACAGCAAAAACGACCAACGACAGCAAGTCCGAGTAACAACAGCAAGAACGACTGGCAACAGCAAGAACAACTGGTAACAGCAAGAACAACTGAACCCCCTCTGCGATCCATGCCGTTCATACTAGAACGAGCCGAAGGGTCTTTTGATCTATATGCCATCTTCTCTGAGTGGGGGGCGTAATAGCGTATCTGGCCCAGTGCTCAGAATAGCTGCGCTGGATCTGATTTAGCTCGTGAAATAGGAATTCTCCCCTACTGCGGCCTGTTCTATTGAATGTACTTAAATATGACAACTTCCCTGCAACTGGAACTGTCGCTCGGGGAATCTCATTGTGCTGATCTGGGTTTTCGGGGTATCTAGTTCGTCAGCTTATCCATTCTTAGCTATTTACAGTCCCGCTTTTGACATTCAGGGGGGCACAAGCAAGGAGGGAGTGCTTTTCAGTAACAGTGTGAGACTTCAAAAGAGCGCATATCATTTTGAATCATATCTACAGCTTAGAACCATCCCTGGATTGTCTGTTCTTTGCCATCTACACTCAAGCTCACCATAACTATGATTCTGCTGATTCACTACCCCTTAACTACCAGGCACCCCATGTCCATTCCATCCTTAGAACTCCATATCACCCTCCTTTCCCACTGATGCCGGAATCCTATCCCTTGAAAAAGCGCCAAACTCCCGATCCTTAGCGCTTCAGTTCAAATGTGCCAATCCCCCCGCTTCACCGCCATCCAACTCGCACACCTCGTCCAGCGTCCCATACACCCGCAGTTTATTTGCATAAACCCGCCAAAACGGCGCTGTGAGGGCCGGCACAAAGTCATTTCCGCGGGCTGCATCGCCAAACACAGCTCCATCTTGCGCCAGCGGCGGCGAGCCAGTCATATCGTCCTCGATATCTGAGTCCAGCAGGCTCGATTGCCTGGCCTTCTTCTTGACCGGGCTCGGTTCGGTGAGGACCTGGAAGCGGTTCGCAGAATGAGGCGCGGGGTCGAGCACAACGCCACCACTATCGTCGTCGGAGCTTGTGCTATCAGCTGAGCCGATGGAGAGTTCAAATGGGTCCACAGCGTGCGTGGCGATATTATGCTTCGGATGGCCAACATCTAACTTGGCAGCGAGCTTGAGGAAGATCTGCGCGGTGAGATAACTGTCGTAGCCTGCTTCATGGAGTTGGTGGCGATTCTGGTAGGATCTGAACTCCTCGGGGAGGCAAATGTCTGGTATGCGCTGGGATTTTAGATCTTGGTGGAGGTCTTGGAGACTGGACGATTGACGCGAATCGATAAGTTTATCACGCGTAGCCATATATTTCGTGTCGATGACCATGGGGAAGAGGGCATGGATCTCCTCCTGGAATTCGGTGACGGTAGGGGGGAGCTTTCCAATGAAGGTGTGGTAGAGGAATATGAGATCGGTGAAGAGGTTATGACCAACGAGGACGCGGGATTTGGCCGCCAGAGCTTTTGCGAGGCTGGATAGCTCGAGCTTTTTTAAGGAGGTGTCAATGAAGGCGGATTGGCCGGCAGCGTTGACACAAAACCAGTTCGGGGCTATAGCGGAGAGGTCGCCACCAGCGAGAGCGTCAAAGATATAGCGGAAGCCTGATTAATGTGTAAGTATATCATTAGAGACTGGACGAAGAGAAAGAAAGAAATAGACAGCCCACCAACTTGCTTGGATAGCTGAGTTTCATTGGCTATGACCTTCGAAGCAGCAATCTAGGGAAATCAGTCTCACCCCTGTACTAGGCTGCAATTCACATACCTTAGCCTCCTTCACCGTGTCCATCTTCTCGACCTGCACGAAATCGGCGTTCTTCTTCGGCAAGAACGCTCTGTACTGCTTGAACTCGGTCCTGACAAGTTGGTAAACCAGTCTTCTTTGATAGCCACTAAGCCCACCCGGCACCGAGACATTGTAAAAACCCATTGCATCCCTTTCGTCCTTGTTCTTGGAATCAGTCCATTCAAGCAACTGTCTTCTAGCGTTGCGGTAGAAGTCAAGAGCGACCTGGTCACCGGGGCCGATCTCAATATCCGGAATGGTGCTGTTCCGGTTTTGGCGCTCTAGGAATGCTTGACGGGCCTGGGTTTGCTCCTTCCGGGAGATATATGATATCCCCTTTGTGAAAACGGCCCCGATGTCAAAGCAGTTCTTCCTTAGAAAATGCATAGAGCTTGATGAGAAGGTGATATCACGGTAGATATCCAGTTTATCTCCATCTTCTAGCAATGGATTGATATTGAAGTTGTACGGGCGAGCTGTGTAAACTCCTACGGTCTGTTAGTCCACAGAAATGGAAAACGCCCCTGTCTCGTCATGTCCAGCTGACGAGGACTGACCATTCTTCCAATCTTCTTCCACACACGTCAGGCCGATCTGCAAGACTTGGTATCTCTCAGCTGCCTCTTTCGTATCCTCATATTGCTGTTGGAGTGACGGCTTGCCAATTTCGTTGAAACGTCCACCAGGTGAGTAGCGTAACTTGGTTGAGATCCCACTCATCTCCACATCGACCGTAACGAAGCTTGCAGTGGAAATGGCTTTTAGGATAGGCAAAAGCTCATGCCAGAAGTGCTGCTGATCGACCTCCATATTGATGGAGTTTAATTGCAGAGCTTGCCTTTCGTGGCATATGTTTTGGGGGTTGTATCAACTTCAGGTGTTGAACGGCACGCGTCACTTTGGTCGATCTAGCATGAGAGAATAAACAAGAAAGAGCCCTCTAACTGTGAGGTAGTTGTGTGGCAGCTATGAGGCTGCTTTGACAATGAAAATACACACAACCTATATCATGGGTGGCGGTTGTGGCTTTTATATTTAAGCCTGGCGCGTGTGAACTTCAAGGGATATAAAAGACGTGCTTCATTACTTTAATCACCGCCAGAAAGAGCTTATGGTTCTGAATGCAGCAGAGAAGAGATATATGGAACTTTGGAGTAATGTTTGACTTTCCTGAGAATTGTTTTGCCAGCACTCATGTTTCAACACCAAACAAATAAGTCACCGCCGGTGATTGTCAAAGGTGCCTTCCATGCACGCACGCATGAACCACTTAAATGACAGTCGTCGTGCATATTGAATCGCATCTCACGTGACCATCCTATTGGCGGTACCGTGCGGCTAGGTCCGATGGTAATGTCCAAATTGCCGAGGCTCCAGTACGCGATCACCTGCTAACACTCCGAGAGATCTCCAGATTCTCCCCCGTCCATTCCTCGGAGCTAACCACTGAAGGGCCTCACATCCCCGTCCCCTCTAATCTCCTCGGCCTCGTGCGTCCCTTCCCCAGATGCCCTACACGCTAAACAATGGCTTTTAATGGGTCCGCTCCTTCACTCCTCCCTCCCAACGACTCCGGATCCTCATCCTTATCCTCCTCACAACTACTCTCGGCTTCAATGGCGAGCTCGACATCCTCACGACATGGCTCCTCCCAGATCTCAAAGATCTACCGGCAGTCCTCAACTCTATTCCTGACGCGTCGATTGCCGGAGTCGCTCTCTACCATCCTCCCGGTGATCACGGCACCGACGACCACAGACTCCAATGGCAACGTCTCGGTCGTGGACCAGGCCCCAATTGCCAAATCCTCACGCACCACCAGGATCAAGGTCTGGAGTCTCTACCTGACCATCCTCAACGCCATCGTCGAGCTCGACGGCGAAGAAGGCAAAGCCGCCTTCGGCACCCAAGAATGGCGCAACCTCGTCACCAAAGTCCGTGACGGCATCGTCTGGGAAGAAGTAGTCCAGAACGGCTACCGCGGAGTCGAAGGCGACGTTGACGCCGACGTTGTTATCAACCTGTTCGTCCCTCTCCCCTCAATCCTCAGCCCTCAATCCCAATTCCTAAAATCACATGCTAACCCCCACCCCCAGAGCAACCCTCCTCCTCGCCCACGCCCGCACCCAACACCTCAACCAAACGCGCCTGGAAGCCTACCTCGCCGCCGCCCGCACCCCCAACCTCGACCTCACGGGCCGCTTCAGCGAGACCTCCGTCCGGGGCGCCAGTCCCACCCGCAGCGTCGGCACCGACACCCCTCGCGACCTCAACGCGCGCGTCAAGATCCTAGAGCTGTACACGCTGCACGTCCTCCTGCGGAACGACGAGTGGGCGTACGCGCGGGACTTCATCTCCGCTTCGGAAGTCCTGGATGAGGAGCGCCGTGATGCGTTTTTAGCAGCGCTACAGAGTCTAGAGGATGAGCGCGAGGAGGCGGCGCAGAGGGAACAGGAGATGGCGAGGGAGAAGGAGGAGAAGCTGCGAGCTGATCTCGAAGAAGCGCGGAGGCGGCGGATTGAGAGCGAAGAGCGCGAGGCGCGCAGGATAGAGGAGCAGCGCGAGGCGCGGAGGGTGGAAGAGCAGCGCGGGAATAGGGCGGGAAGTGAAGTGGATTACGGTGTTGATTCTTCGCATCCCGTGCAATCTAACGGGTCAGCGAGCGGGAAAGCAGCGAATGGCTCAGCGAGTGGGAAATCCTCGCCTTCTCGATCGGCATCGACGCCGCCGCCGAAGAAGGGGGCTATTAAATCGAGGGTCTTGCACTCGACGAAGCCGTCTGGGTCGGGACAGCGAGCGGCGGTGGCGACGCCGCCGAATATGATTCAGCGCGCTACGGCACTGATGGGGAATGTGCAGAAGCTTATCAAGGTGCTCGCGGCAACGCTGCTGAATAACCCGGGGTCGGTGCTGAGGACTGTGGCGTTTGCGGTGCTGATCTTGCTTGCGCTGGGGAATAGGGCGGTGAAGGAGCGGGTTAGGGGGGTGTGGGGGAAGGTGAGGGGGACGATGGGGATGGCTACTAAGGTTAGTTATATTTAGTGAGAGGGAGGGGAGGGGTAATGTCGTATATGATTGCATATTTGGCGCTGGTGGGGATTTTTTGGGGGGGGGTTGAGAAGGCACAGTTTGTATGTATAGTAAATAGTAGCCACCCAGAAGAAAGGCGTTAGGATTGGAAGGGGAACATGACATGTTGTCTGCCTCAATAGGTATAATTTATTTTATTTGTTCTGGCTGCTCTGCTCTTGCAGATCTTAGTGAACCCATCCATGTATCAAGGTTATCATCACGGGCTTTTCCCATTATCCGATCTACAGGGCGTTTTCCCCTTCTATAGTCGTCCTTGCCCATCTCGCTGCCATCTAGTCACGCGACAAGAACGGCGCCGTCTCCATCTCCCCAGCATCCTTTTCATACACCTCCCCCCCAAAGATCTGGCGGATCTTCAACCGTGTCGACTCGGGGATAATAGTTTTCCAGCGCCCCTCCTCCGATTGTCGATTCGCAGAGCATCGATACTGGGGTTTTTGTAATCTCCTCCCCTTCCGCTGTCTCGTCGCCCCGCTGGTGTTCTCGGATTTGCAGGGTGCTGTCTGGGCACTGAAGGCGTGATGGAGCTTGGTGAGGATTTGATCTGGGGATATCCCGAGTCGGGCATTGTCGGTGGGGATGCCCATGAAGTGATCTTTTGGTGGGGATACGTAGGAGGAGGATTGAAAACTGAGAATCGTCTCTAGAGAATCTCACAGGTGATACCGGCTTATAAGGGGGAGGGAAAGGAGTACCATCCCACACGCAAGGACAGTAGAGAATTAGATGGAGGGACTATGGGAGGAAACATGATGCCATGTGGTGCGTAATCACAGTACCTGGTACGAGAAGGCTTATGAACTACAGTGGCTGGGATAGAATAAAATAGTGTGAGGATTTCCGGTCAGTATTGGACCCCTGTGACGACATGATGTCGTTGACAGCTCGGCAATCTCAGTAAACTCGATCTCTAACGGCGCATTCCCACCACCACCAACCACACTCTTAACCCTAAATTCCGTGTCCCCTATCAAAGGCAATCCTTTGCCTCTACATTTGCATGAAGCTGGCCAAAAAAAGGCGGGATAGCTAAATACAAAGCAAAAATGGTACAAAATGCAAAATAAAAATGCGAAATCGCACTCCAAGAGGGGCTCGAACCCTCAACCTCAAGATATCACGTGAACTATTTCATTCAACTTATAGTAGAAGTCTTGCGCGCTACCATTGCGCCATTGGAGCTATGGTTTGCAGTAGCGCGATGAGGGAAGTCTATATGTGTGATGGAGATTTGGGTTTTTTTGTCGGTGGGGGTTTGTGTAACGTGTGGGGGGGCTATTATGGTGTGGGAGGGGAGGAACTGTTATATCAGAAGTGTTTTTTTCACTGGAGTATGTGATGGAAATTGACATGCTGAGTCTCTTCCCATGTTGGATTCTTGCTGAATCTATATCTTGGGGGGCTACATGAGAGGAAGCTATTTTTCCTCGATGCTATAATATTTTTTTGGCGGGATAATTTATTTATATATTCCACCTCTTTTTTGAAAAGCAAAAATATAAATGACGGATTCCTCCCACACAAGCTATTAGATCCAGAACAAAAGAAGCCACTTCTTGATTCAAATATTCCCAACAACCCGGTAATACCCATCTACCCCCCCCATATTTTTCCCAAACATCCTTCTCAACCTCATCCTCCTCCTCGTCACTACCCACCACAAGGCTAAACACCTTGTCTCACCTTCCCAACCCACCCGCCTACTGAAACACCATGTCGTCACCCACCACTACCACCATCAATCACTCATCAAAGAAAAAAGTTTTTTTTTGTCTGTTTGTTTGTTGATGAGTGGTTGTTATTATTATATATATTAATTCTATCCTACTTTCCTCGCTGTCCTGTGGTTACCAGCCTCCCCGGTCGTATCGTGTGTCATATCCATATATACCCATATGTAAATCCCATCAATCATATCATGATTTCCCAAAAATTTCCCAAGTCGCTATTGTGATATACCCAATCCCATGCTCCCAATCGTAAAAACCCCCATGCAAATGCTTTCCTTCCCCAATATTCCCAGAACGTATGATCTCAACCCAAACTCGCGAGAGTAGGATAGAGGAAGAAACGAGAGCAGACTCAAATCCCACCAACAGGCGTAATCAAATCCACACTCCTCGTCCTCCCCCCCCACCCCCCGCGACTCGGCAACGGCCTCTCCCCCGGACTCGACACAACGCCAAAATACCCCTTACTCCCACTCTTCCCCCTATACGCCCACACCACGCCATCAGAGTCCTCATCCGACGACTCCGGCGGACTCGGGTGATCCCTCTCAGCTCGTCGTGCGATCCCCGAGCTTATCGAGCGGAGACTGGCGAGCGCGGTGGGAGGGATGTAGAGGGAGGGAGAGGAGAGGGTAGGTGAGAGACGCGGGATGATGTCCCGACCGGGGTTGGCGGTTGTGGTGGGCGAGGCGGGGTGGTTGTATGTTGGCGAGAGGTAGGGTGACGGTGGTGGGGAGGTGGGGAGGAAGGTGGTGTGAGAGGAGGCGGGGTGGTCTAGTTGGCGGCAGCGTTCGGAGCAGTAGAGGGTGTTTTGGTGGGGGGTTGGGGGGAGTTGGGAATCGCAGTATGTGCTATTGATTGTTAGCTTTCTATTCCCCAATTCTTGCTTGTTAGGAGAGTGTAACATACCAGAAGTCCAAGAAACTCTCATCACCACCCTCAGCAGCGAATTCTTCTTCCTCAGCTGAACGAGCGGCGCGCCCGCGGCGCTCGCGCTCTTGCGTGCTGCGACGGAAGAGCATTGGGCGGTGCGAGGAGGATTTGCGGCGGGGTTGGCGGGAGGTGGAAGGGCGGGTGGCGTGGGGGGAGGGAGGGGGGGAGGTGAGGGTTATAGGGGCCAGGATTGCGGGTTGGTGGTTTGTTTGGTGGTGGCTGTTTGGTTTGGTGAGAGCGTTTTCTTGGTTATTTGTGTTCAGAGTTTGAAGTTTGGTAGTGTGGTGGTGAGTGGTATGAAGTGAGAAGCGTCGACGACTGGAGGGGTCGTGGGGGGTTGATATATATGAGATCCCGATATGACTCTGATAACAGGAATCCGATGATTATCGATTATCGACTTCGGACGGGTGCAGACGGGATGCTGGATGGGGAAATTGAATGGATCCTGCGTCTTTCTCTATCTGGCATGTAATGCTCGTATGTGTATGTGTGTGTGTCTTTTCCCTTATCTGTGGCTTGTGGGGAGAGCTGAGTGTGGGCAAGGAATGGCGGATAGATAAGGTTGTTGTGTGAGTTGAGTCTAGCCGCGAGATCGGAGATGGGGGTCGTGGTCGATAGGTAAGATGTGAGAGTGATAAGGGTGAGTAATCCGAGTAAATGAAGGATAATTGAAGCAGAAGTTATTAACTGTTTGTTTTTAACTGTGCGTGTCTGTGTGTGTGTGTGAGTAGTTATATATTATTCATCATCGTGGGAAACAAAGGAAGGCTTCAGTCTTTATATGTATGGATGAATGGATGGTCAGAGAGTTTCTGGGTGTGTATGTACCTTAGCAATCCACCATCGTGAGTCAAATGGCGAGCGTGCCAGCAAAAACCCCACCATCTTTTCCTCTCGTACTGTACTTTGTCCGATTGATGTACTTCTCACTGGAAAAAGTACATAATCCGTAGTTGCATCACCTCCACCCCACAATTCCACAATTCTCAGCCCAGGCAGAGGTCGTTTACTGTCCGTTGACTGGTCTGGCATTGGGGGTACATGCGCTCGCACCTATTATTTGTACGTGGCAGATGTACCACACATGGCCAGCTTCCACCATCCTCTATGGCTATTGTGCTATTTACGCCTTCGTAGGTATCTTGTCCAGCTTCTCCACAGATAGATACAAGTTCTCTTTCTCCCTACGATTATGCCATGTGTGGGCCATCCCATACCTCACATTATGCCATTCTCCCACCATAACGGTACTTGATGACAGTATGCTAACTCCCATACTGTGAACAAGTACCCATCTATGGCATTCTTTCCCCATTCCCGCAGCCTCCGTTGTCTCGCCGGTGTCTCTAATCCCCCCACTACTCTACGCCATTGCTCATACTCAATCGTGCGAGGAGAATTTTTATTTTTACTTCTATTTTATCTTGTTGACTCCATTATCCTGTGTAGACCCATATATCTCCCATAAAAAACGTGCTCTGACGTGGACCGCGTAGCAGCCCGGAGGGTAACTCTCTTCCTTGAAAATTATCTCAATAATCCATCCCACTCTCCAAGCGCCCTCAGCTCTGAGGGATGGGAGACTTGGATGGACACGGATGGATCTGACGATCTGACTGTACGGGATGGATAACCCTTGTTGTCCAGTACCCAAAAAGGCGTGCAGGGCTGAATGACTGGGTGGGAGTGAGTTTTCATTTGACAGCAAGGTAGGTATGGTATTTTAGAGTAATGTACTGCGGTGGTACGGTATTTTTTTTCAATGGAGTCATGTACTCTTTTTTTTTTGCTGTTTACTATGGATTTACTATGGGGATAGACTACACGTGTATGAGGCCGAGACGCTGGTGCGTAGGTGAGATGACTACCACGGCTGCCCACTACTACTTACTACCCTCCACCAGTACTATTGTTAGTAAGACACGCACGCACACGCACGCACATACGCACGGAAGGGAAGGGAACAAAGAAGAGAGACGAGAGACGAGAGAAGGAAGTCGAAACGTGCGAATGGTGCGAAAGAGCGAATGTCCGAAGCGTGCGTGCGGATGTCCGAAACGTGCTCAATAGTCGACGAAACAGAAGTATTGTGCTGTACCACTCTATGCTATACGCTCTATGCTATACGCACTCTGTCACTCCATTATTGTCATACATACACAACTTACTTCCATCCCCGTTCCTGTACCTGATATGCATATACACGCGTACACACATACATACAGACTTCTTACAGCATATATCCTGATGCAACACACAGATATAACCTACCAAGGTACAAGTATCACCATATAGAAACCACCCAGGTACATGTACCACCCAACTACCACCACTCACCACAGCACATCACACTCACATCACACCCACAGCACAGCACATCACACACCCCATCACACAGCCAAAATTCCGCAATCCCACCCATCAAATGGCGCCTCCGATCCAAACCGCCGACCACCCCAACACCCAACGGTCTCGACGGTCTCGACGGAACGACGGGGAGTAAGTACAAGTACAGTATATACACACCCACCTTCTAAGCCGACGATTGCGCAATAGCAGCGGAACCCCTACAAAGGAAAACCATAGGTAAACGATGGGAAAGGGGGTTATGTAAGGCACGTCAGAGAGAACGTCAGAACGTCAGAATAGACAGGTCGTGTGTCTGATTACTACAGTGTATGGTGGTATGGCGTTATCCTCTGATGATGTCCCTCCCCCGACTTCCTCCTTATCCGCTCTATCGATTCCCCCCATCTCCATCTCCATCTCTCCGATCCCACCCTACTAATCGAATCGAATCGATCGTACCCCCACGGACCACCACTCACCCACGCACGATGCTTGCTTGCCTTCCACACACAGAAACCCATCCTATCCTATCCTCCCTGCCATGCCATGCTACGGCGGTACGGTACTTACTTCTAATCCCGTACTATGGAGAAAAGTGTATTTGTATTTTGTATCCCTCCGAACTACCGACCCGGGCCTACCCATCTTCCGAGCGCGCGGGGGGAGGGAGGGTCAAATAACACCGTCCGTAGCTACCCACGTGTGCTCTAGAACTGGCTGTTCGGCACTGCCACCCCGATCCGTTGATATACTTAGATCGGGGGTTGTACCTTACAGTCCCCGCAATCTACCCACACCACGCTACACACAAGGACGTAGGGGAATTGAGTGTGTGTTGCACGTTGTGCTTGTGCCTTGTAAGAAAAAGTTCTAGACCGAGATTTGTGTTACATTTTTTATTTTTGGGAATTGTGCTGGATTGGATGGCGATGGGAGGTGAGTTGAGGGTAGGTTTTGAACCCTGATTTGCCTGCCTGTTGTTGAATTGACGTTGAGAAGGTGGGGGTGAATATCAGTTTGAATATCTATATTGGAAACCAAGGCAGATAGATGCGTGTCTGGATGATTACAGGATTTGGGTATATGCATATCTATCTGCCCTCTATACTACTACTACAACTACAACTTTCAAGGTCGTCACTATACACCACATACAACATACCCAGCCAGCCAGACCGCACACGCAAGGTCCCGTCCGTCCCTACAGTACAAACCTTCCAAGGTCCTCTACGCCTTCCCTACTGTACCCCCAAACCCCCAAGGTCAATCAATCCAAGGTCAAGCTCTCACCTCTAAAACCTCCCACCACCACCACCGGCATCGTACCCGTACCCCCCAAGGCTACCACAAACCACCCGAAATATCCCCAATCCCAGATACCAGACACCACCCACCACTTACCACAGACCACACAGAATACACCACATACACCACATCCACAACCACAATTTATCTCCAAAGGCAACCACTTACCTATCCCGTCCACTTACTATCCCGTACCACCCCCCAAGGCTACCACCATTCAAGCCCACACGTACACACGACGACGACGCGTCTCCCATCCCCAGCTAGGGAGCCAACAAGGCCACATATCTACTGTATCTCCCCGGGTGTCGCGGAAGGGGAGGGCTGTGCTGTGATCACATCCCTTCCGCTCTTGAAGCTGTTGAGCAGACTACTGTATGAGCAGACTATTGTATTCAAACTACTGCACCCCAGAGTAAGTAAGTACCCAGCAAGGTAAGTAACTAGCTACCTCAATCCCCAATCCCCAATCCAGTCCCGTACATCCCAAAAAAAAAGGGTCAAGAGGTCAAGAGATCAAAGAAAACAGTCTAGTAGTAGTAGTATACATAAAGTACATCCCATCCCAACAGAGTATCTATCTATCTACCTCCCCTCCAAAAAATAAAAGTGATATATGACCGCAACCTTGGGATCTACCCCCCCTTCGGCCTCGGACCTCCGATGTCGGGACGTCCCCTCCACACTCTACGATCTCGACCACGCATTGACTGTTTTTTCCACTACTTTGACATCTCGATTGACTTTTAGATTTCTTTGAGTCACAGCGCAGCGGGGTGGTGTGGAGTAGTGTTGTGTTGTGTGGTGTACATTCTAGAGCACAGATGGGTGGATGTGGAGGTGCTGGTGACACACATGACACGGCATCTCCCATCCATCCATCGGCAGCGGCGGTGGTGTAAAGCCGAGATGAGATCGAGAAGCAGCTATCCCCCGCACAACTCGGGAGGCACGAGGACGATGGCATGCAGATGAGACAGCGGGAGAGACGGCACGGAGACGGGTGGTAGAATGAGGAGTGACTCGAATACCGAGTTGACATGGACTTGGTATCCAGTTCACCTTCGACATCGTCTGGACATGGACATGCACGTTAACATACACATTCAATCAACTCCATCTTCACACTCAACTCCATTCCGAGATTCAACTCAAATCCTATTCATTCAATACACCCCCAACCCTCCCCACTTCCCTTCCCAATTCTAATCGTTCATCGTACAAGTATCCCCCATCCATCCATCCATCCCTTTCCACCCCCCAGCATCGCTTCAGTGCTAGATAAGAAAGAAAAAAATAAATATACCACCGCAGACACAGCCACAGAAAACGCGTAGTATCTACACAAGAAAGACAACGCTTAGATAATCCTCCCTCTCCCCTTTTCGTTTCCTCCACTCCCACCGTCAACCCCCCTATCACCCTCGCATTCGTCACCCTCCCCTCCCACTCATCAACTCCAACTTAATCAAGGAGTGATGAGGTGCGGCAAGGGGTAAGGAGGTAAGGTGCAAGGCAAAGGCCAAACTACCTCCCCCCCACCTTCCCAGCTCCGATCATCTCGCCATACCGTCCGCGCTCGCGGGTGGTGTCGTACGCGTTCAGGACGCGGGTCTGACTCTCGTCGGCTTGGGAGAAGGCGTAGCCGCGCTGTTTGCGCATGCGCTGGACCTGGCGGACTTTGCGGATTGCTTTTTGGAATTGTTCCATCCTGTTGCCGTCGTTAGTACACGTTATCAAAAAGGGGTGGTGATGAAAGGGGGTTGGAGGTGAAGGGGGAAAAGAGTATGGGGAAGGGGGGAGGATGAAAAGGGGAGAGATGGAAAAGGAGGGAAAGGAAAGGGGGAAAGGGAGACAAACCTCGGCCGATAATCCTGAATATTATACTTCTGAATCTCCTGAATATGATGATAAGTCTGCGGATAATACATCCTCTTCGCATACTTCCACGCGAAATCCCTCGTCAGACAAAGCACCGGCAACGCTAAAATCTGCAGCCAAAACACCGGACTCGTAAACAGCCGCGGAATCACGCCCTCAAACTCCCTCGAGATCTTCGCCAATGGCATCACGGTGCCGTATACGGGGATGAACACCATCCAGATCACCAGCGAGCCGGGGATGGACATCACGTGGTACTTGGTCCAGGTATTTGTCACCAAGGCTGCTTTGCCCAGAACGGTGACCAGAACGGCGGTGTACAGCGCGGTGCCCCAGACCCAGTGGCCTGCGATGCGGCCGTCTGACTGGGGGAGGTCGCGCCACCAGATTGCTTCCGCGGCGACGTAGAGAATCAGAGAGTGGTAGAAGCCATTTAGGACCCAGGCGGCAAAACTGTGCATTTTGAAAAACACGCCCTTTTGGCCTAGTTGGTACAGTTGCGGGTATCGATCCAGCAAGCGGGCCGAGATGAACTGGTCGAAAATACCCATTGCGAAGGGGGGCAGCACGGCGAAGACGACGTTGTAGAAGGATAGGGTCCAGGACTCGTAGATGACTTCTCCCGAGAAGACGTTTTGGAAGACGTACCAGAACTGCGTCATGTAGAGGACAATGTTCTTGTAGAACGAGTATAGGATAACCTTACTAATGCGCTGGTAACTCCACGCGCCGTGGACGAGGAGGAGTTTCCGGAGGTACCTGAACTGCGCGATACTAACATCGGCGCTACGAGCAGCCTGTAGACCTTCCATACCACTAATACCGACACCAATGTGCGCAGCCTGGATCATAGAGACGTCATTAGCGCCGTCGCCGATAGCGAGGAGGATAGCCTTGAGATGTTTCTTAACCAGCTTGACGACGAGGGCTTTCTGGAGCGGGGAGACACGGCAGCAGATGACGGCTTTGCACATGACGGCGAGGTCGAGGAAATCCTTCTCCAGGTCCTTTTCGAGGGCATAGGTGAGGGATTTCCCGTCGATGACGAGGGCAAGGGTTTCGAGCTCGAGCTGGCCGGCACCTTGGCTGCGGATGGCGTCGAGTTTCTTCTTGAGGTTGTCGCGGGTGGAGGGGGCGTCGACTTCGTTGACTATCATGAGGGTCATGTCTTCGCTGATCAGCTTGCAGCTCATTCCGATGTTGATGGCTGTCTCCTGTCTGTCGCCTGTCAGGACCCACACCTTGATCCCAGCTTCCTGGAGGGTGTGAATCGTCTCTGGCACGCCGTCCTGGAGACGATCCTCGATAGCCGTAGCGCCGAGTAGGTAGAAGTCGCGCTCCAGAAGCTCAGCAGCTTTATCCAGTTCGTCCGCGCGGTTGCCGCTGACGGTCGTCTGAGCCTTGTCGTACACCTGCCACCACTCCTGGAATTCCTGCTCGGGGATCTCGCGCATGGCGAGGCAGAGCGTGCGTAGACCCTCCGTGGCGTACTCCTCGAGATGTTGGAGCGTCACGTCGGTGTGCGGGTTATCAGGAGACAGACGCTCGAGGATGACGGTATCGGCACCCTTACAGTAGCATCTGACCTTTCCGTCGGGACAGCGGAAGATGGCAGACATACGTTTCCTGGTCGAGTTGAATTCGCAGACGGCGAGAAGCTCGTATTCTAGCTCCTGGTTGTCGACTACGATCTGTACCGACCGCGGCTTGCGGGCTGTGAACTCGTAGCCCATGAGCACGGCGCCTTCTACCAGGGCACCCTCATCGGGTGACGCGGCTTGGTATCTGATCTTTCCACCCTTCTCCTCGAGTCTTTCGGGGATGACGGTGTGGCAGGTTGCTAGAAGTGCTAGGAAGTGGTGAATGGCATTTGACGACTCGTGGGTCTTTAGGTTCTCCTTTAGCCTGGCGAAATCATGGATGCCAACCTCCATGCCGTCCTGAGTCGTAGCTCTGCGGTCTTCTGGGACCTCAGTCGCATATTGGATGCCGCCAATAGAGCACTGCTTGAACTCCATCTGGTTGCATGTGAGAGTGCCTGTCTTGTCCGAGAAGATATACTCGACTTGTCCCAGTTCCTCCACCAGACTCGATGTCCGGCAGACGGCTGGGGTGTCGTTGACATCATAGTACATGTCGAGGTCGTCGCTGATGAGCATCGCCTGGTAGTACTTGACAATTTCAATCGTCACGAACAGCGAGATAGGGACGAGGGCCGAGAAGAGAACCCAGAACGTAAACATGTCGAAGAAGAAGGTCTTGGCATTGGCCGCTATGCCGCTTGGAATCTCCAACTGGAGATACTGGAGCTTCTCAGAGAACCTCTGTCGTGAGATAATATCTCCAACCGTGCCGAGCACACTCAGAATAAGCAAGATGCTGATGAGCATGAGAATCTGTAGGTTCAGCTGGCGCTCAACTGCGGTTCTCTTGATAGGCGCCGCAGTGGCGTTTCGCATCAGCTTCGTCTCGTGGCCCGTGAAGACAACAATTCCGTAAACCCAAGGGGTATTTCGCAGGGTAGCTCCTCTAAGTAGAAGCTGATCAGGTTGGAGAGGCAGTTCCTTCTCTCCGCCTCCAGCTTGCATGGTGAGCGTAGCTTCGTACGTATAAAGACTGCTATTCGGCTGTTCCGACTTGAGCTTGCCACCCAACCTGCTCAACTCTGTAGGGCTGACAATCTCAGACGTTTCGGGGATAGCCTGCTTGATCTTGAGATTCGTCTCCCCGTCCAAGTTCGCCGTTTCGATGTAGCATAAACCTTCGGGTTCCGAACTGGCAAGCAAGACCAAATCCGCGGGAAACGACTCCTCAGACTCAATCCGTAGAATATCTCCCACGGCGACATTGACCCACGTAGTATCCTGGAATGATGACCCACGGAGGACCTTCGTTTTCGAGTAGTTCAATTGTTTGTCTGCCGACTTTCTCCTGTAATCCTCCACCAGCTCCTTAATCGCAGAGACGCACAGCACAACTATAAGAGGTCCAATGGTGGTATATTGATTCGTAGGTGAGATGTTGGGGATCTGCTGTAGACCAGCAGTGAATAAGAAGAACAGGTTGGCGTATTTGCTGAACTGCTCAAAGAGGAACTTGGGTAAGAAGGTGGCGACGTTGTACTTGGCTGTCGAGACGTGGTTGCTGGAGAACTTGTTCGCACTGTTCGCCGGAGGATTGTTCAGGTATATTAACCGCGGTCCAAGAGTCGAAGGGTCTGGCTTCCCTCTGCCAAAGCCGAACTTGAAGTTGCCGAGATCAAAGGCCTTGTGCTCTTTCTTTGGCGCTCCCAAACCCGGATCGTCGGCTCTTGCTTGCGCTCCCGGTTCTGTGAGTGGTAGGTCCATCTCTGAATACGCTGGTGCCATGCCCAGCATGGTCTTTGCCTTTCCCATCAGTCCTCCTCCCATACTCATCACACTATTCCTGTTCAGCGGTTTAGATGTCCGCTGGCCAGGTCGTCCGCCCGCCGGTTCCCCCCCATTATAGTACATCGAATCCGTATCATCCGGATATCCATCCCCATCGTCGCCATACCGGTCATAATTCCCCAGCCCAGACGTCTGGCTGGTGTTCGTCCTCGTTATGTCATTGTTATTATACGGGTCCGAGCCACCGCGATTGAAGTTTCCTGGCCTTCCAGGTAGATCCCTCATCGAGACTCCCGACGGCCCAGAACTAGATCCAACAAAGTCATCGTATGAAACTGACGGTCGCGGCTGCGTATCATCGTGGTCCGCGTTATATGCCCGCAGCATGTCCTCATCGTTCATCGTAGGCCGGCTGCCTCCATGGTACGCCGGCTGGTCATAGTCGTTCAGGTCGAGGAGCAGGTCGTCGCGGTTGCTGGACGATGCCCCTGGAGTCCGCCCAGCCATGCTGGAGAAGCTATTGGGCGTCGCAGTCGGAGTAGGTGATCTCTCCCAGCCCAATCATAGATGATGCCGATGCAATGAGCCGTATTGTTTTGTCGTACGTCGCAATGTCGTCGCCAGTCGCGAAAGCCACGATGTTCTTGGATATCTCGTATAACACAGCCTCAATAAAGTTTCGGGGGTCAGACACAGTCGGATTCAGGTCCCGTGCTAGCTCAAATCGTGGGTTTTTGCGACAGTGAAGAGGACCTGGAGCTGAACCCAATAAATAGGGGTCCTGATGATGCGAGGAAGCGTAAATCTCACAAGTCGAGCTTCTGCAATGAAGTGCAGCTAACCTGACGTTGCTATTCTTACTCTCAAACATCCCTCAAATGATCCCTGTTCGCTTACGTCCCCAATGCGTCGTAGTCCAACCCGCTGCGCATCCTAACGACGCGGCCGCGTACAAGCGACCTTTGATTGCTGGATTGGAGGTGGGGAATAGTTTATCCGCGTTGGTGGCGGCTTCGATCTTATAAATCTGGGGAAGGCTGTCTTGCTTGAGAACTACACACGACACAACCACATACCTGCCACCATACAAGAAAACGATACAGCAAGGCTCTAGGTACAATATAGGCCTACGAAAGAGCGACAACAAAAAACACAACTGAAAAAGCACAAGCAAAGAGCTCAGGAAACAAACCCGCAGCCATGTCGCGCCATCATCCGTACGTCGCCCCCCTCCCCTTCCCTCAAAACACAAGCTAACATTCCTCTCCAGCGATCTCGTAATGTGCCGCAAGCAACCCGGCATCTCCCTCGGCCGCCTCTGCGACAAATGCGATGGCAAATGCCCCGTCTGCGACGCCTATGTCCGCCCCACAACCCTCGTGCGCATCTGCGACGAGTGCAGCTTCGGCAACTACCAGAACAAGTGCGTCGTGTGTGGCGGGGAGGGAATCAGTGATGCGTTCTACTGCTTTGAGTGCACGCGCCTTGAGAGGGATCGCGATGGGTGCCCGAAGATTATAAATCTGGGTAGTAGTAGGACGGATTTGTTCTTTCAGAAAAAACAACAGAGGGTGTTTGGGACGAGGGGGTGAGGCGTTTGGGAGGATGGTTTACTATGAATTTCTGGGGCTGGTGGCGTTCGGGGTTTGGTGTCTGATGGATGTGGGTTTGGGATGGAGAGGGAGAGCAAAGGGAGGATAGAGGAGGGACGATTCACAGGAACGCTCAACGAAGGGACGAAGATAGTCCAACAGGGGCCTATAGATTCCGCCGCCAAGTCGTACAGTTTGGTGCAAGTTGGTGCGAGGCAGGTCGTACTGCGTGTGCCTTTGCGCATAGCAGATATTGAAACAAAATACAGCTTTCAATTCCCTCAACCGCCCAGGATCCCACGTGAGCTTTGGCTGTGCACCTCGCCCAAGGGCATCTGTGCCATCATTTCTGTCCGCCTGAGAGCCGCAGCCCAATAATTGTCAGGATAAACGCCAAAAAGTGAGGTGACATAATTGGCCTCTCTTTTTTTTACATTCTCACGGATATGACTGCTGCAATCGAGCTGCGTGCACTGTGCAGCATGCAGCAACAAAACGCGTCTCTAGCTGCATTTATTGGATTAAGACTACGAGACATACTGTACCTTAAAACGAGCAGAAAGAAGGATTAATATTGTGTAGATAGATAATAAATTCATATAGTTACCAAGAGCACAACCGCGTTTTATATATCAACCCCGCTCACCCACCAAACACTTCCCCTCCGTAGAATAACACCAATAGCCGATGAGAATCCCCCGCTGTGAGTAACCGCCGAGCCGCCGTGACCGCGGCAGTAGCTTCATCAGCTGCCAATCCCGAGGATGTGAGCTGCCACGAGGGCCGAGTTGATAACGCCTTAAGAGATAGCAGGGGAATTGGTGGGTACGTCGGGGGCTGTGTTTGTTAGTTATATATGAAGAACTATATACGTATGAACCTTGAGACCTCCTGGGATTGTTTTTCAAAATAAACCTCCGGTATATTAATAATTATATAGTAGCATAATACTTGTTATCCCCTCCAACTAATCCGTTATATGGCACCATAGTACCTATCAACCCCCTCCCATCCCTCATTTCCATCATCTAGAACAAGTGGTATAATCCCCCCCCACCCCCCCCCCTCTTCAAAAAGAAACCCTCGCACCCACCCACGCACCCCCAAATAATAACAAACACCTCCCCTCCCCCCCAAACCCCTACCTCTCCTCACCATCCCGCGGACCCCCCCTCATAAGCATCTGTACCATCTCCAACGCCTCGCGATACCTCTCCCCCCCACCCTCCAGCAGGACCGGGCCATCACCCTGCGCCCTCAGGCTCTCCATCGCCGTCTCCAACGCCTCAAACACCTCCCAACCGTCCACCATCTCCCCCTCGTCTCTCATCCTCCCTATAATCATCTCCACCACACCCACCCTCCTATGCATCTCAGCCTGCGCATCCTCAACCGCTGGTGGCACTGTAATCGTAGCGCTTGACGTCTCTTCCGCTTCTGCACTCCTCTCCTCCGCCCTCCCCATCTCATCCACCCCATTCACACGCATCACCTCCCCAAGCACCTCCACATTCCCCGCCGCCAACCTACTCCACGCCTCCTCCAGCCTCGCTCCCTCCAACGGTTCCCCCTCCGCAACCCCAGCGCGCGCATTAGCAGCCGCGTCTCGTAACCCCCTCGTCCCCACCAGCGCCAGCCTCATATGCGGCGTCAACCTCCCTGCCGCACCAACAACAACAACCCTACCCTCCGCCTCCTGCCCAGCCGCCTCATTTCTCTCCCGCTCCGCCCTCTCCAGCTCCTCCCTCCCCCTCTCCAGCATCCTCCTCCCATCCACCTCCGCCCTCCTCCTCTGCAGCTCAACCCCCTGCATCCGCACTTCCGCCGCCCTCCTCTCCAGCTCCACCCCCGTCCTCTCCATCTCCGCCACCGCCTCCTCAACCGCCTGATCTCTCTCCGGTTCCACCCCCGCCGCCCGCGCCTCCTCCCGCATCCTCGTCAGCTCCGCCACCCCCCTCCTCACCCCCGCCCTCTGACTCTCCAACCGCACCATCATCCTCTCAACCTCCAAATTCCGCCTCTCTATCTCCTCCGTAATACTCTCCGCATCCACCACCCCCTCTCCCACAGGCACCGTCCTAACCTCCGTAGTCTCATGAATAAACACCCTCTGTCCCTCCCGCACCTCCTGCCTTATCACCCCCGCCACTCCTCGCCTCGCCACGGGGACCCCCGACCTTATCGCGTTCATTATCCGCTCCTCCTCTGTAGCCAGGGCGAAGGCGCGGGCGGCGCGCTGTACCTCCTCTTTCTCGGCGGGCGTGATGGTGATGGGCGGCGTGGATATGGCGTTAGCGGCTTTGTGGGCGGCGCGCGCGTTGGCGCGGGCGGCGGCGCGGGTGGATTTGAGGAGGGCTTCGGGGGGGTCGGTGTGGTGTACGTGAGCGTGGCGTGCGAGGACCTGTGGGTGTTAGTGGCGTTGTTTGGTATCTATGGTGGTGAAGATATGGGAAGGATGGGAGAGAAGAGGGGAAAAAATAATGCAAAAAGAAAAAAATACTCACAACTTCCCCCTCCAACACCCCAAAGCTCTCCCCAACCCTAATCTTCAGCCTCTCCAGCGCCCCTCCCCCCCTCCCCGCCCACCTCTCTCGCTCCTGCCTCCCCTTCTTCGCCGCCATCCTCTCAAGCAACTCCTCCATCTCCCTCTTCGCCTCCTCCTTCTCCCTCGCCATCTTCTCCCTCCTCTCCATATTGATCCGCTCAAGCATTGACCCCGCCCCCATAGCCCTCGCACTCTCAGCTATCCACGCGTTACGCTCTGCCAAGTGAGCCAGCCTCGCAGCCCTCAGTTGTTCAGGATCCTGTACCTCCTCCGGACCCCCACCCATCTCACCATCTATCCCCTCCGCCCCCGGGACCTGTTCAAACGTCATCTCCACGAACCCCGGACCGAAGCCCACGGGCGGTCCTGGCGCCGCCGGCGCTACACGTCGCCTTACACTAGCAATAGCATCCTGATCCCCCGCGGCCGCCAAGCGCTCCAGCTCCTCCTGCGCCATCGCCTCCGCCTGCTGCTCATCCAGCCGCGCCCGCTCCCTTGCCACCCGTTCCTCCTCCCCGGTATTCGGCGCTCGTCCCCCAAAGAACCTTAAATCGAAAGCCGGCGGCGTTCCCTGCGCCTCCGGGGTCCTCTCCGGTTGTCCCCCCGCGCGCCGCTCTTCCCGGATCCTCTCGCGGCTGCGCACTATGAGCGCTTGTCGCATGGGCGAGTTGGGGTGGGCGGCTGCTGCGCGCCTCTGCCAGCGCGAGCGTTGGCGGGTGTCGCTCTCGAGTTGACGGGCTTCTCTGCGCGCTTCGCGGCTGGCTTCGCGGCGGGCTTCGCGACGGATTTCGCGCTGGCGCTGGCGGTCGTCACGTCGCAATTCCCGACGTTCGAGGCGCCGCTGTTGACGTTGTTGTTCGAGCTCTTGCTGGTTGGGTTCGCTGTCGGTGGTGGAGGGGGGGGAGGCGGCGGCGACAACGGGTTCTGTTGCGGGGGCGGGGGCGTTGGACGGCACTAGAGGTGGGGGATTGGTGTGACGAAAGAGGGCGGGGGAGTTATCGAAGTAAACCCTCTGTATGCCGCGATTAGGTCGCGGTGCTGCAGCAAAGTCGAAAGCGCGCCCCAGATTAGCCCTTATCGAACGCCGTTGACCAGCCTGGGACAAGCGGGTGGTGTTGACAGGAAAAACACGCTGTGCTGCAGCGAGAACAGGGGATTGGTTGTTGGCTGGCGCGGAATCGTTGGCCGCGAATAGGGAGAAGGGGTTTGGTTCGAGGTTCGGGAGGGCGGGGAGGACGATAATGTGGGAGGAGCCGGGGAGGGAGAGGCTAGGAAGGGCGGTGAAGGCGGGTGCGGGGGTAGGGTCGGTTTGGTTTTGTAGCTGGGGGTCTGGGAGAGAGAGTGAGTGGCCGTCCAAGGTCTCCGTTGAGGCCCGGGATGAAGATGCGGTGGGTGGTGAGGGTTGGGGCGGTTGTAAGGGTCTAGTAGGGTGATTAGTGGGCTGTGATGCATTTAAATTGGAAGAGGAGTAGTCACGGATTCTCTGATCCGTCTATTGAATCTTCCATCGGTTCCGCCATGATTGAATAGAGTCTGTTGCTTATTCTACTCCCACGAGGTCGTCGACGAGTTATTGACCGATGTTATATTTAAGCTGAAGCATGGGAGGGCAAGGCTGACAATAGGAGCTGTAACCGTCCGTGCACCGGTTGGATGTTGGATTGGAGCATGGAAAAATAGTTGATCCGCGGTTACCCTTTATCGCCCCATCCTATCCTTATCAGATGGCCAGCCGTCCATCCCAACTCTCCAAACCCACCTCCACAACCACCCAGCCTCGCGCCAACATCCCCAATCCAACCGCCCACGATGGTCTGCGCAAAATGCCAAAAGCTCACAAAGCCTACCTCCCTCGCCACGCCCGGCGTCAAAAAGAAGAGCGAGATGTACTACGGCTCCCCCGCCGGCACCAAGACCGCTTCAGCTGGGAGTAGTGGCGTTGGCAAATCCACCTCCGCGACCTTGGGGCAAACCAGTATTGGCAAAGTAAGCTCACCTCGCTCGCCCTCCTACCGAACAAAAAGACACCTCACTAACACCTCCCCCCGCTAGAGCAAACTCCTCTCCGCCTCCGCCAAGAACCCCTACGCGGCCTACGCCGCAAAATGCACCGGCAAAGAATGCGTCACGAAGATCGAGTCGGGGAGGAAATACTGCAATAAATGTGCGTATCGCGCGAATGCGTGCGCGGTGTGTGGGAAGAAGAATGCGCCGGAGAAGAAGGCGGCGCCGGTGATTGCGGGGCAGAAGTTTACGCTTAAGTGAGGAGGAGGGGGAGGAGAAGGAGAGACATATATTGTATTTTTGGAGGGATGGGAGGGGGGAATTGGGGGGCAAGGATGGCGGCAAGTGGGATTGGGTATGGGATGCCACGGATGGAGGGGGATGGTGGTGGAAGGTGCAGCGGTTGGGGACTGGAAGGGCAGGATATATCGCCTTGTCGTTGTGTCGTACGGCAGGGAGGTGGGGGACAGATCCCTTATATTCTATATTAGCCGCTGGGGGTTGTGTCTCATAAGTCTCAGGTTGAGCCGTCGTCACAGGAAACCCTCCGCCAGGGAGCGACTGATCTCGCTGGAATGAGGAGGGTCTAACAACAGATCCCAGATCCCGATGAGTAACGGAAGGCACAACTCTGTACAAATAGACAGAACGGGTATACACATAGAACCCGAATCCAAATATTCTCAAATCAAACACAATACAGCAGTCTCATCCAACCATCTCCACTCATTGTATGTCCATGCCATTGCGGCTCTAAGTTTATCTATAAAGTTTATGTGCGCGCACCATTCAATTGTACAGTACAAAGGACAGAACCAACCTCCCCCAGCAAAGCTTCTCTAGCTACACTGTGCCAACATGCGAATGCCATCGCCCCAAAACGCCGAGTTTTCCCAAGTTGCTCAAAATACCCCTCATTCATACATCCATCATTCCCAATCCCCCCACCTCTTCCCTACCACGTCTCCGCAATATACTGCCCCGCCTCCTTCTTCAACCTCCAAAACTCCTCCGACTCCGCGCGACTCATATTCCCCATCTCCATGCCCACCTGCACCAGACTCGACTCCACCCCCTCCCCCATCCCCTTACTACTCCCACACACAAAGATCCGTCCATCAAGCGCATTAATCACGAACCAACACAAATCCTTCTGCGCCACCACCTCCTCCTGCACGTACCTCCCCACCCCCGTGCGCGACTGCACCACTTTCTTCACCTCATCCTCATGCACGCCCCATTCGCCGCTATACAACTCGTCGAGCAGCGAATCCCGCACGCCTTGAAGGACCCAGACTTTATTCGCGCAATTCGCGCTCTTGAGACGGCGCTGCACGAAGCCGCGGAAGGGGGCGACGCCGACGCCAGCACCGATCAGGAGCATAGGGCCGTCGGAGATGAATTCGCGCGCGAGCGGGTTACTCATCAGACCCTTGAACATGGGGATTCTGAGGTCAGGCTTCTCGCCCCTCGCTTCAGCAGCGAGAAATTTGCGTGCCTGCCTCTCGAAGAATCCCGAGCTGAGGCCCGTGCGGTCGCCGCGCCAGGACTCGGTCTCGTGGACTGTGACTGCGATCTCGATGAGGCGGGAGCATCCCTTCACCGGGACGCAGTTCTCGTGCGGGTCATTTGAGAGGGAGTAGAAGCGTGGCATTAGCTGTTTGAGGACCGCGAGGAGGTGGTCTAGCGGGGGTTTTGCGGAGGGGAACGCGTGCAGGAGGTGTGCGAGGGTGAGGTGCGGGCCGGTGCGGAGGTCGCAGAATTTGCCCTGGCCTTCGGCGGAGCATAGGTAGTTGAGGATTTTTTGCTCGTTGGGGTCGGTGGTGTATTCGGCGAGGACGCGGAGGAGGGCTTTGGTTGGGGGGTAGGATTGGATGTCTGCGCACCAGGTGAGGAGGTCGCGGCGGGTGGAGACGAGGGAGCGGGGTTTGTCTTCGCCCCAGATGGTGGGCCAGCGGCCGCTGGTGGTCGTGACGAGGACGGCGCGGTCGCGGGCTACTCGGGGGATGGAGAGGAGGTCCATTATCTCTTCTACCATTTCGTCTTCGTTGGGGGCTTGGACGCCGATGGCGCCGCCGACTTTGAAGTCGACGCCTGTCTCGGCGGGGTAGTCGGAGACGTCGAGGTCGAAGTGGAAGGTTCGCTTTTGGGCGCCGGCGCGGGTGAGCTCGCGGGTGTTGAAGATCTTGGCGGAGAAGACTTCGTATGGGGGGTGCGGCTTGACGAACTTGGGTGGGTGTTCGCTGGATGTCGGGGTGCGGGTGTGTTGTAACTTTTCGTCGATTTCGGCTGTGTGCGGGGTAAAATCGATTGACTGGTCGACGGCTGGGTTGAATGGCTTTTCGTCGGGGTCTGCGCCAACGATGGCGGGAGCCTTGTTGTCTCTGATGGGAGAGAGGGAGACTGTCTTCGCGGGCAACTCGTGGATGGCAGTGAGTTTCTTCGGTAGCTGTCCGAGGTTCAACTTAAGAGCACGGAATGCGTCGTTGTCGGGCAGAGGAACATATTCGAATGACTGCGAGTCGGCCTTGGGTGCCAACATGCAGCATCCGCCGCCGCAGCATGTCTCGATGAGCCTCGTACCGCTCTCGCCGATTATCCTCCTCGCATCTTCAGCATTCTGCGAGATCAGGACGGTGGATGCTCTGCGCCGGCGTGGCACGCTTGGGATCTCCTCTTCGTCGGCGGAGGAGTTGGAGGTGAGGGATGGGACGGCGGACCGAGGTGAGGTGTTGTCGACGGGTGGCTCCTCGGGGATGCAGTGCGAAGTCGTCTTCGTTCGGATAGCCATTGGGCGGAGCATGGCTGCGGTTTGGGTTGTGGGTGAAGGGCGAGGTGTAAGAAGTGATGACTGTGGCAGAGGATGGCGATGTGTTTGTGTTCGCATCCAAGAGTGTGTAGTTTTGCCTGTGATCTTCCTCGGAAGCTTTCGTTGGGAAGTCAATTGTAATAGTAAGTGTGTGTTAAGGGTACTCTAGTCGGAGATGCTCCACATCCCACTTGGAAGCGTGGAAGAGTGGAAGGGTGGTTTTGGGACTAAGCGGTGCCGAAGCCGGGGAATTATGGAGAAGGGTCGAGTTTTTATCAGATGGTGAGATGAGATAAAGGGATGGCGCAACAAATAATCTTAGATGGAAGGATGTAGAGATTAGATTGATTTGATTAGTGGCGCTTTCCTAAGCAAGTCCCGCATATTGGGGGGTGAAACGAGGTTACGCGGATGGGGATTGGAGTAGTGGTTAATAGTGGTAATAGTGGTAATAGAGTGGTAATAAAAAGTAAAAAGGGGGCGATATGCGGTGTAAGGGTGGCAAGAGTCAAATTTGCTTGCGGCTTATCAAAAAATGAAATAAAAAAATGTATTTCCGAGGTATGTATGTATATGTACGGAGTATTCTCTATCCCATTGCCGAATCATTTCCCTTGGAGTACGCAGGTGTAGTACAGGAGTACAGGAGTACAGGAGTACAGACAGGAGTACGGGACAGGAAGGCTGGGATGAGTGATGAGATACATTAACTGACGTGTAGATCCGGGTGTTGGGGCATGTACTGTACTGTAGCATCCCGCCGAGTCCCGATACCGATACCGATAATTACCAAATCTTACCTTATCATGGGGGATGTAGAGTGATGTAAAGTACAGACATACAAGACAGTACAACAAAATGCAAATAAACTTGGAATATACTAGGGAAACACGGGAAATAGGACAAAATATGGTACAGGTACAATACGGGCACAATAAAACTACAAAAAAATAAGAGAATACGACAGGCACGCTCAATTAAAACTGCAAAAAAAAAAGTAAAAAGAATGGCAGTAACACTCTCCACTCTCTCCTCCCCGCCGCCAAAAATGCAAAAGATTTATTTCAAGGTCACGCCGAGGATCGAACTCGGAACCTTTTCGGATATCATATTTAATGATACTTTGTGAGCGAAACGTCATAACCATTAGACCACGCGACCTATTTATATATTAGCTCTGAGCTTTAGTTTGATACAAGTGCTACTCAACAATACCATTATCCCATTTTATCCCCCATGTCTTCTAATCTTCCACCTCCCACGTTCCTAAAGCCGGTCTGGTGTGTGTCTGTCCCGTCTGTCCCTCCCCCGTGCCTACCTTACCCCAGAACTCATGTCCCTTACTCGTTTACGTACAGTAGCCTCGTCACCCCCAATTCACTTCCCTAGACATACTATAACTATAGTACAAAACATATAGAAATGATAATTGCCCATTAAAGAAAGCCATTGACTGTTATTTATTACTTTAAAGCCAGTGAAATATCATTATCCCCCTAGTCCTTTGCCTAATTACTCCATTCCCAGGGCCTCGCCTTCGCTTTCCCAGTCGCTAAACCTAACCCATACGTGGTTGCATGCGTCCCAGCTCGTTTCAGCATCGTCAGTGCATCGCCGACCTGCCGTACATACTGCCTAGCTCGAGTAATCAACCACCGACAACCTCCAAACTCTCTCAAAATCCCCAAGTCCGCGCCGACTGTCCCCTCGCGATAGTCGAACTCCAACACCCCCGTAGCCCTTCAACCCGTGGATGAGCACGAATGGCAGGACGCTTTGTGCGCGCGTCGAAGTATCGTATGACCTCCCCCCCCCTCCCCGCGCCCAGCCCCCCGATCGCGCACTCGACGAGCTGACATTGGCATCAAGGACACGTATTTGGGAAGCCGACGAGGAAGGAATCCACCTACGATAACCTGCACATCAGTCGCAATGCGTGGGACACCAATTTGGTCAAGGTATGGCTGCTGTGCCTGCGCAATTGAGGTCGAGGGGTGAATGCTGACAGGGAGTGCGTGCGTGGCTAGGTCAACCCGGAATACCTCGCTGTGAACTGGGAGGCTAGCGGTGGTGGTGCCTTTGCTGTCATTCCGTTGAATGAGAAGGGTCGCTTGCCAGAGCAGATTCCGCTGTTCAGAGGACACACTGCGCCTGTGCTTGATACTGACTGGTGAGCAATGCGGGCCCCCTTGCTTGCAATACACCTGAGACTCGAGCTGACGCGTGCGCATAGGAATCCCTTCAACGACCGTATCATTGCTTCCGGATCCGACGATGGAAAGGTCTTCATCTGGCAGGTTCCGAACGGATTCTCGCTGTACTCGGATGCTGAGGAGCCAGAGGACGTTTCCCCTGTCAGCAAGCTCACTGGTCACTCCCGCAAGGTCGGACAAGTCCTATTCAACCCTGCCGCCGAGAATATCCTAGCTTCGGCCTCCGGCGATTACACGATCAAGCTGTGGGATATCGAGACGGGCAACTCCCCATTGACTCTCAAGCATGGCGATATTGTGCAGAGCTTGTCCTGGAGCGCGGACGGCACAATGATGGTGACCACCTCTCGCGACAAGAAGCTTCGAATCTGGGATGTGCGTCAGGAGAGACCAGCCCACGAGGTTGCGGGCCACAGCGGCGCGAAGAACAGCAGAGCCGTGTGGATGGGCGAGCACAACCGTGTTGCGACAACTGGATTCTCGAAGATGAGCGATAGGCAGATGGCGCTGTGGGATGTTGGCGCACCTCAGGAGCCCATTGGAGGCTTCACCATTCTGGATTCTATTTCTGGAGTCTGCATGCCGTTCTGGGGTTTGTGTTGCTGCTCTTTGTTGATTGTTGACGAATGCTAACGCTTAGTGTTACAGACGATGGAACTCAGTGTTTATACCTCGCCGGAAAGGGGTAGGTCACCCCCCCTCCCCCAAACGCTTAGTTTGGAAATCGCTAACAGTTTACAGTGACGGCAACATTCGCTACTTCGAGTACGAGAACGACAAATTTGAGTTCCTCTCCGAGTACAAGTCTGGAGATCCTCAACGTGGTTTGGCATTCATGCCGAGACGTGGTATCAATGTAAGTTACGAGATCGGAGTTACACACGCACACAGCACTAATTATTACAGCTCCATGAGAACGAGGTGATGCGCGCCTACAAGACAGTCGCCGACTCCTACATTGAGCCAATTTCATTCGTCGTCCCCCGCCGCGCCGAAGTCTTCCAATCCGACATCTACCCACCAGCAGTCGGCTCCAAGCCCGGCGTGTCCTCTTCCGAGTGGTTATCCGGCAAGAGCGCTCTCCCACCCAAGATCGATCTCGAGAGCGTCTACGAAGGCAACGCGCCAAAGGAGGTAGCATCTGACTACAAGCCGCAAACCTCTGCTCCCGCTCCAGCCCCAGCTGCAGCCAAGGTCTCTGCACCAGCCAAGAAGGAGCCTGAGCCTACGCCAGTCGCCCAACGCGCACCACCTCCAAGCGTTTCCCAGAACAAGTCCTCCATCTCCGAGATGGCTTCCAAGTTCCAAGACAACGACGTCGAGGAGGATGACGATGACGCGTCCAGCTTCGAGGAGATCCCCAAGCCTGTCGTGAGACAACCTCAGACTACCCCCGCCGCAAAGCCCCAGCCAAAGGCCGCTTCGCCTGTTGCCCGCCAAGCCCCCGCCCAGGTCGCAGCTGCGGCTACGAGCCAACTGCCATCCCGTGCCGCGACGGCTCCTTCTGGATCCCCTGCGTCCTCCACCCAGGCATCGTCCTCGGTCGAGAACTCACTGGATCAGATCAAGAGACTCCTAGAGCAGCAGACCAAGACCATCACGGCCCAGAGCGAGCAGATCGGCCATCTGGCTTCGGAAGTCGATTTCCTCAAGAAGAAGGTCGGCGGCAGCGAGCAGAATGAGCGTATCAAGCAGCTGGAGCAGGAGCTTGAGGAAGCTAGATCTTAGGATTAGCTATCTATACCAAGCTGTGCTTTATGCGCACGCATTAGTTGTGTCGCGTTTGTGGATTATTGATTTTCAGCGGGGCAAAGCATGCGAGTTGAGAGTGGTAGAAGACACGGGAATCGCGGATATCGTGGGGAAAAGGGGACGTTTTGTTTCTAGAAGCTACAGAGAGGGATTGAGGGGTATAGGTGGGGGTCAATTACGATGTTGTTTAACGATGAAAGAAAAATGGACCCCTCCCGATTTGAGAGCCTCTCCCATAATCATAAACCTTTGCTGAGTATTGCTGAGTAAAATCCCGCGGAACCACTTTAGTAACTTTATTAGCGCTGCCCAGTCACGTTACCTCGGCCCAGGGGCAACTTTCCAAGCGGGCCAAGAGAAATTGCCGAAGTTTCGCCCCGAGATAACGGCCTCGTTTTTCCTTGGTAAATCTACTGAATTTCGCCGCAACTCCCCACATTACATATGGATGACAAGCCGTGAATAAGAATAAGTGGTTCCTATAACTCTCCTAGCGTCTGTTTTTCTATGGGTTTCGCGCCGTGATTGAAAGTGCTTCCAAAGCGATTGCTCAGGGTTAATAAGCCGTCTTGACTCCGTGCCCCTCTATACAGTTGTATATAGCTTCGTTTTTTTGGCAAAGTGGATTATCCAGCACCTTCGATATCATTGAAAATAGCTTTGACAATGTCTTCCTCCACTCTCGGCCTCAAGTTCGCCCCGCTTCTAAGAAGTCTCCCCTCTCGCAGTCAGCTATATATGCCCTCCTCTTCCACCTCTCTATTCCACTCCTCCTCTCCCATCATCACCAAATCATCATCATCACCCTTCACACCCACCACCCACCACCGCTCCATCTCCACCACCACAGCCAAAATGTCCGCAACACCCTACCTCACCGCCCTCGCGGCCCGCCGCTCCATCTACCCCCTCAAGAAGGAATCCCCCATCCCCGACTCCCGCCTCCGCGAAATCATCACCGAGGTCATCAAGCACGTTCCCTCGTCGTTCAACGCGCAGTCCACCCGCGCCGTCCTGCTGCTTCACGCTGAGCACGATAAACTCTGGGATATCCACGCTGAGGTGTTGAAGCCTATCGTCCCCGCTGAGGGATGGGCCGCTACTGAGGGGAAGATTAACATGTTCAAGGGAGCATACGCTACTGTTCGTCCCCCCCCTCACATTCCCCCTCCCACCCTTATTTCACAAGACGGTTAAGCTAATAATACCCCCACAGATCCTCTTCTTCACCCACGCCCCCACCATCGTCGGCCAACAAAAGGCTTTCCCAATGTACGCCGAGAAGTTCCCCCACTGGGCCGCCCAATCCTCCGGCGCCCACGAGATCTCCCTCTGGACCGCCCTGGCCGCCGAGGGTCTCGGAGGTAACCTCCAGCATTACAACCCGCTCGTGGATGCGCGCGTCAGGGAAACCTGGGGTATTTCGGAGGATTGGGTGTTGGATGCTGAGTTGGTTGTTGGTACTCCTGCTGGGGAGGCTGGGGAGAAGGCCTTTTTGCCTATTGAGGGCGAGAGACTTCTGGTTTTCGGCGAGAAGGCTTAGATGGGGGTTGAGAGTTTAGAGAGGAAGAGGCGTTTTATTGCATAGCTTGCGGGTTGGTTGGGGATTTAGAAGCATAGAATTTGGTTTTTAGAATTAGAATTGACGATTTATGTCTGTTTCAAGTTGGGGTTCTGCTTTGAATGTAATGATAGTGAAGATGTGATCATGGCATTCAATTATTGCTTCATCCTTAAGTATGATCGAGACGACTGGGCTAATTAAGTTTTTTTCTTTTCTATTTTATACAGTGCCAAACCTACGTCTAAGCAACTGTCTTCCAAACCATCGCCTCGTTGAGAGGAGTATCATGCACTTTATTTTATATACAACGTCCGCAAAAAAAATACCTTGCGCACACAACGGCCGCTCGTCTATACTAAAAACGCCGTCCATCAAACCTTCCACCCCCTATTTCTTCACCTCACCATCTACACCACCGCCCGACTCCGCCTTCTCCTGCTCCGCCTCCTCCTCCTCATGCGCCTCCTCCTGCTCATTCGAAATCGCCTCTCTCGCAAGATCATCCGCAATAACCTCTTTCTCCGTAACATGTCCCCTATTCACCCCAACCGTCTCCTCCCCACCACTCATCTGCCACTCCATCAGCCTCGAAAATGCACTCTCCGGATCGGTAGCGAGTTCCTTATACGTCCCCATCTCGGCGACCTTGCCGTCGTTGCCGAGGACAATAATGCGATCACTGCGCTTAATAGTGCTCAAGCGATGCGCAATCGAGATGGTGGTGTTATGCCCCCTCAGCAGCGCCGCCAGCGCCGAATTAACAAGCGTCTCGCTCTCCGCATCCAGCGCGCTCGTCGCCTCGTCCAGGATCAGAATATCCGGATCCTTGAGCAGCGCGCGCGCGATAGCGATGCGCTGTTTCTGTCCGCCGCTCAGCTGGGCGCCGCGGGCACCGACCTGCGTGTCGAGACCCTCGGGGAAGTCCTCGATGAATTGGCAGTTTGCTTTTCGGGCGGCGGCGATGATTTCGCTGCGGGACGCGTTGGGGCGGCCGTAGGCGATGTTCTCGGCGACGGAGCCGGACATGAGGACGGGTTCTTGGCCGACCATGCCGATGCGCCGGCGGAGGGATTTGCCGTTCATGGTCGAGATGTCGATGCCGTTGATGAAGACTTGGCCGGAGGTGGGGTTGTAGAAGCGCAGGAGGAGGGATCCGATGGTGGATTTGCCGCCGCCGGAGGGGCCGACGATGGCCACGTTCGAGCCGGAGGGGATGGTGAAGTCGAGCCCGGAGAAGATGTCGACGGCGGGCCTGGTTGGGTAGGCGAAGTGGACGTCTTTGAATGTGATTGGGCCTTGGGCGGACTTGACGGGCTGGCCAACGGTGGCGTGGATGGTTGGCTTGCGGTCTTGAAGCTCAAACAGACGGGATGCTGCGCCAACGCCCTTCATCAACTCGGAGTAGAAGGAGGACAATCCAAAAAGCGAAGAACCGGCGTAGGCTGTGTACATAAGGAAGGATGTCAGGTCTCCAATGCTTATTGCCCCGCTCTTGACCATGGCGCCACCAGAGTATAGCAGGGCCAGGATAGTCATATTTCCCATGAATCCCGTAGAACTGAAGAAAGTTGCGCTGATAATAGCCTCTTTCTTTCCCAGTGCAAAGATTTTCTTAATCTGCTTATTATACCGGGATACCTCCTGGATTTCACCCGCAAAAGCCTGGCTAGTTCGCACGTTCCCCAAGCGCTCTTCGGCGATCTTGGTTAACGTGCCCAAGTTCCGCTGGATCTTGCGACTGAGATTTCGGATCATTCGGCCATAGAAGAAGGCACCGATGGCCACAGGAGGGAACATGAGACACAGAATGCTGGTGAGTTTGATGCTGACCCAAGCCATAGCTGCGAATCCGGCACCACCACTAACAAACGCACGAAGGCCATCAGAAAGGTTCTGTGTGATACTTTTTCCAACAATGACAGTGTCAGAGCTCAGTCTCGAGATGAGGTCACCAACACGGTTCGCATCGAAGAACTCGGCGTTCTGGACGTATGTACGTCTGTACAGTTGACTTCTCAGGCGCGAGACAATCCTCTCACCCACAATTCGTAGGATGATGATACGTCCATAGTTAGCCGCAGCTCCGATAGTCAGCACGCAACCAAGCGCAATGTAGAACTGCTTCAAGTCCAGGCCAAAGAGCTTTCCCTCGCCGCTCTCATTTGTCGCCAGATCAAGGATCTTTCCGATCGAGAATGGAATCGACATGGTAATCGTACTGGATATGAGCAGGAAGACGAAGGCCAGCCCGAGCCATCTGGCCTCGGGCCGCGCAATCTTAATCAACCGCCATATCTCGCCAAAGCCAGCAGTGTTCTTGACGCCTTTGGTGTCACCCAGGCGTGCGGAGAGGTTCACTTGTGCCGCGCGAGATGCCTTCTCACTGCGACCAAAGCCGCGCTCGGCTTCCAAGTCTTCCTCCTCTTCCTCTTCTCGCCGGGCTTGCTCCTTCCAGTCTTCCTTCTTCGGTGGTGTCGGTTCCGGCTCTGTCTTCCGTACCTCCTTCCGTTGCGGAGTTGTGGAAAGCGCTCGCAGCTGAGTCGCCGGCGATGGCCAAGTCGGTTTAATAGTCGTCCATGACGATACTAATTTCAGGTTCGCAGTGTTCGGCTTCGGTTGTGTAACTGGCAGTCTCGCCTTCGGCAAAGACGCTGTGGTCAGCTGTCTCAATGCAGCTTTATATATCGGCGACGTCTGCCTCAGAGGTCCCTGGGCATGCTGCGTGGCCGGAGCCTGTCTCGTAATAACGTTGTCCAACAAGGCCCCCAGTGCCTTGCTTCGCGGCACAAGTGAGCCGCGCATCGCGCGAACCCTAACTACCAAAACGGCTTCGGAAAAGGAAAATGATATCAGAACCGGTTGAGTAGCGATAATTGACGTCGTCTAAGTCTCATTGTCGCGATTCATGGCCAGCGTAAATGTGCGATGCTTCCGGTGACGCTCAACATTTCTCATCGAAGACTGACTCCAGGATAGGGTCCGTGATGCCGGCGCCGGGCGCTAACGGAGCTCGGCCTTTTTCATCCGGCAAACGAGCTCGAAAATTGGTAAGCACGTGCGACTCATCGTGCTTTCCCTCAGGGTCATGCTTCTCAGGGGCAATATAATTAGTTTGGAGAAGGGTCCAACAATTGTCATGAGGAAAGATGAGGGAGGTGATTATCGCAGTATCTCAGCTCCCAATGACAGATTACTGGGCTTTTATTTGGATATATGGCACTTAGAGTCGGTTTATGTTATGTTACAGAGCTAAAACAAATTCAATCAATTTACTTTGACTGTGTTTATTTATTATTGATTTATTCAATCATTATTCTTCGATAGAGAAACAACCTCTCTCTATCAACACCATCACTTGAACCACACTACAGGCTACAAAGTTCCATCTTGACGAAGAGAATGTAAAGTATCCAATCGTTAAATCGGGACGAATTATAAATTAACAAAAATCATGATCTGGCCCGCTCTTCCCGCTCCATTCACCCATAAAAATCACAAAAAATCTCCAATCATTATTCCTCAACGTAGGTTTCCAATAGATCCCATCTAACATATATCTAAAACTTATCTCAAGATATCAACAATTGCGGCTCTTACAAAAGCAGAGCGACAGCAGCAACACCCATCAACAGGCTCACGCTAGCTCCAACCCTACCTCCAGAGCTAGCGAAAGCCGGGACGGTAGGCTGCACTGGAGTAATTGGCTTGGTAGGCTGCTCTGGAGTAACTGGCTTGATAGGTTGAACAGGGGCGGATGATTTGGTTGGGTTTGCAGGTCCTCCTGGACCAGCGGGTCCGGTAGGGCCAGCGGGTGCGGTCCCGTTGCCATTTCCGTATGGGGGAATCACAGAAGGAAGACCGGTGTAGGTTGGCAGGGAACCAACGGGGCAGACGGTGGTCGAAACTGGGTATACGGAGGTCACAACAACGGTGGATGAAGCGGGGCAGTCGGTGACAGTCTGGGGGCACTTGGTAATTGTCACGACATTGGTGGCATACACAGTCGAGGTGGTGTACTCCTCAGACTCAGGGGTAGTGGTAGGGACAGGCGTGTAGGTTGGGTTGCCAGGGCACCAGGTCGTCAAGCTTGTGATCACCTCTGTCGTGACATGGCCAACCGGGCAGTTTGTCACAGTTGGCGCGCAGCTAGTGACGGTATACACGGAGGTAGTGACGATGGTGGAAGTGAGAGTAGGGTAATCTGTCGGGGCGGTCGTGGAAGAGTTGCTGTATGTCTTCGTCGACAGAGTGCTGACAGGAGGTGTGGGGGTAACGTCGTCGGTGGTCGCAGTGGAAGCGTCAGTGGTAGCAGTGGAAGCATCGGTGGTAGCAGTTGAAGCATCGGTGGTAGCAGTTGAAGCATCGGTGGTAGCAGTTGAACATTCGGTGGTCGCAGTGGAAGCGTCAGTGGTAGCAGTCGAAGCATCGGTGGTAGCAGTTGAAGCATCGGTGGTAGCAGTTGAAGCATCGGTGGTAGCAGTGGAAGCATCGGTGGTAGCAGTTGAAGCGTCAGTGGTAGCAGTTGAAGCGTCGGTCGAAGTTGACGCCGTGGTTGAAGTCGAAGTTGAAGCCGTGGTCGAAGTCGAAGTTGAAGCC